ACACACACACACACACACACACACACACACACACACACACACACACACACACACACAATTAAAAAAATGGGCCCAGGACTAGAATAGAGAGATTTTAAAAGAAGAAAAAAATAGCTAAGAGATATCTAAAAAATGTTTACTGTCCCTAGCAACTACGGAAATATCATGAAAACAATTTTAAAACATCATTTCCCAGTCAGAATGGCAAAGATCAATCAATGGACAACAGATGCTGGAGGGGATGTGGAGAAAAGAGAACCCTCATTCACTGCTGGTCAGGGAATGGTTTGCCGTGGAGTACAGCTCCTGAGAACATCCACATTAGGTCTAACCAACAGACGGCCCAAAGGTGACACATGGACAGCAGCCATGCCGTATGGATTTGGGTGGAAAGTGGGGAGACAAGATGTCAGGCCTCAACGGGTAAAACTGTGATGAAAAAAGTTGAAAGGACAGCGGTTTTCCTGAGTTTAAGACAACTGAAATAAAGAGAAAAGGCTATAAACTTAGACCCATGATCACGTGCGGAGGTATGAGAAGGAAAAGGAGTGTGAATTTCCTAAAGAAGGATTTCTTGAAAAATAACAGAGAAATAGTGCAATTTACAACTATCAAATTGAAGTAATTCACTGAAAAAAAAAAAAAGAGAAGTGTCCTAGGTGATGAGGATAGTTAAATTTCGACATATTCAAGTCCCAGAATACTGATGAAGCAGAGCAGTTTATACAACTGTGTGCTGCTATGTAAAATGCATCCAATTAATGTCTGTATCATGGACAAAAATATTATTTTGTATTAAGGGGAAAAATTCCAATATCTGATTTACTTTAGAATACAGAATCCTAAATGATAGGCATTACGGCTTTCTTCAGTTTTGTAAGATATCAATGTTAAATGTTAAATGGGAAAAAAAATCAAAAAGTTGACACTGATTTCATCTATAAACCTTTCATGAGACATAACTGGCACAGAAGCAGCTACACTGACAATAACTATTACTTGGTAAACACGCAGGTGCCACAAACTCATCACAAGAAATACTTCATATTTCACAGACTTAGATTCAGGTAAAATTAACCACACTGAATTCATATACCCATTTATACACACAGTTTAAAGCACCATGTCCCTCCCTTCTTAAGTCAATGTCTAAAATAACAAACAAGCATTCCATCAACATCTTCACTTTATTAAAATAGGTAAGTACTGTAACTCACCTAAATTATCTCTTAAGGCACTAGCATCCTCATGGTTATTGAAATTATAATTAGGTACCAGTTTAAGTCTCATGCGGGAATAATTTTCTACATTAGCCAGTTTCCAATGAATTCGATTCTGTTTCCTAGAAACATTCACAATGAAACAAGTAAAATTACTAGAAATTATAAAGATTAGTTGTTTGCAGGGAGTAAGAAATAATTCACAATCGTTTAATACTATTTTAGACTATGTTCAAGCATTGCCAAGCATGCACAAGGCCCTGGTTTTGATTACCAGCACTATAAAACTAAAGACTTGTAAATTTTAAGGAAAACAGTGGGGTAGGGGATAAATAGAAACAAAGTATAATGACACAATGTATGCAAATACCATATATTAAACCTAATACTCTTTATATGCTAGCTATTACTTTTGAACAAATTTAAATGTTTGTATTTATCATCTGGACATTTGTCAGGAAAACTAAAATGAGCATATTTAATTATGACATACACATGATGAACCTAAGAGAGCCTCAATTATTTACCCAAGATGCCATGAAGCTTAATGGTAGACAATTAAGATTTGAAGACTAACTTTCAGACTTCTAGCTTGATTACTTTATTTTTTCACTGTTAAATACAATTTCATGACCATAATAGAATTTTAAACTTTTATTATAAATAAAGATAACTGAAAACGAATGAAAGACCAAAATATCAAAGTTAAGATGTTAAACGTTTAGAAGAAAAAGGTAAATTTTTATGACCCTGGACATAGGTACACTTTTTAAAATACATTTTTAAAAAAGCTAGATTCATGAAAACTGATAGCACTAAACAACACTATCAAGAAAGTGAACTACGTATCTGAAAATCACCTCTTGATGGTTATTGAGAATACTATACAACACACATACATGCACACAAACACACCAAAAAAAGTCCAACAACGCATTTGGATAGCTAGGCAAAGGAAACAAGACAACAACAAGCACATGGAACAGTGCTCAGCATCACTAATTATTAGGAAGATGGAGAGCAAAGTTACATGGTAATGATTTATACACAACACAAGGGAAATCTGAAATACTGGAAAGTGACAAGCATTGGTTAGAATGTGGCAGAATTGGAAAACATATACTCATACCCTAAACATAAAGTAATGTAGATGTGAAAGTCATTTCTTTGATAAGTTAAATATGAAATATGACCCAGAAATTGAACTTGTATTATATATATCCAGAAGAATTAAAAGCATTCTGTCAAACCAACATTTTGACACAAGTGTCCACACAGCACTGGTAATAGTAGTTAAAAGGGGCAAACAAGTAAATGTTTATCCTTTCACTAGCTGTTTGAAAAGATAAACAAAAGGTTTAGTTTACTATTTTTTAAAAACAAGGGTTATAAAATATATACACCACAACAGAAGTAAAAATATTAAGTTGCAAAGTGTTGAAGTACAACTTTAGCTTAAGAAGGCAGAAATATTCTTATGAACTACTTGAGTCTAATATATGTAATATCAGAGTAGAAGAACTATCCACAAGGTACAAACCTCTAACCATTCCAAACCAATTCATAAAATGACAATAAAGTTTGGAATACGTTAAAAAACTGAAATAGAGATGGCTTAAAAGTTTAAAATGTGGAGGCAACTACCTTCACAGGAGCAGAAGCAGGTACAAGGAAACTACCTGACAGAGCAGGCCTGAACCAGAGACCTCTGAAGGACCTGTTGTAAATCAGCGACCTCTAAGGTAGAGCCCTGAGCCAGCTTTCACGATAATAAATGGGCGGAAAAAGAAATCAGAGAAACATCACCCTTCACAATAGCCACAAATAGCTTAAAATATCTCAGAGTAACTCTAACCAAACAAGTGGAAGACTTGTATGACAAGAACTTTAAATCTTTGAAGAAAAAAAAATGAAGAAGACACCAGACAGTGGAAAGATCTCCCATGCTCTTGAATAGGTAGAATTAACATTGTAAAAATAGCAATCTTACCAAAAGCAATCTGCAGATTCAATGCAGTGTCCATCAAATTACCAGCAAAACTCTTCACAGACCTCGAAAGAATGGTATTCAACTTTATACGGAAAAGCAAAAAACCCAGGATAGCTTCAAACAGTCCTGTACATTAAAGAAACTTCTGGAGACATCACAGTCCCTGACTTCAAACTACTACAGAGCTACAGTACTGAAAGCAGCCTGGGATTGGCATAAGAACAGACAGGAGGACCAATGGAACCAAACAGAAGACCTGGATATCAATCCACATACCTTTGACACCTGATTTTTGACAAAGAAGCAAAAAATATCAAATGGAAACAAGAAAGCATATTTAACAAATGGTGCTGGCATAACTGGATAGCAACATGTAGAAGAATGAAAACAGATCCATATCTATCACCATGCACAAAACTCAAGTCCAAATGAATCAAAGACTTCAACATAAAACCAACTTCATAGAAGATAAAGTAGGAAGTACACTGGAACGTATTGGCACAGGAAACCACTTCCTAAATATAACCTCACTAGCACAGACACTGAGAGAAACAATTAATAAATGGGACCTCCTGAAACTGAAAAGCTTCTGTAAAGCAAAGGACATGGTCAATAAGACAAAACGACAGCCTACAGAATGGGAAAAGATCTTCACTAACCCCATATCAGACAGAGGTCTGATTTCCAAAATATACAGAGAACTCAAGAAATTGGTCACCAAAGAACAAATAATCCAATAAAAAAAGTAGAGTACAGACCTAAACAGAGAACTCTCAACAGAGGAATCTAAAAGGGCTGAATTACACTTAAGGAAATGCTCAACATCCTTAGTTATCAGAGAAATGCAAATCAAAACAATCATCTTATATCTGTAAGAAAGGCCAAGATCAAAAACACTGATTGACAACTTATGCTGGAGAGAATGTAGGGTAAAGGGAACACTTCTCAGTTGCTGGTGGGAGTGCAAACTGGTACAGCCACTTTGGAAATCAGTATGCTGATTTCTCAGAAAAATTAAAAAAAAAAAAACTTCCTTAAGACTGAGCAATACCACTTTTGGGTATCAACTATGTTCATAGAGGCATTATTTGTCAAAGCCAGAACCTGGAAAGAACCTAAATGCCCCTTGACTGACGAATGGATAAAGAAGATGTGGTACATTTACACAATGGAATGCTAAACAGAATAAAAAAATGATATCTTGAAATTTGGATGGATCATCATATTGAGTGAGGTAACCCAGACCAAGAAAGAGAAATATCATATGTACTCACTCATAAGTGGTTTTTAGACATAAAGTAAAGAAAATCAGCCTACAAATCACAATCCCAAAGAACATAGACAACAATGAGGACACTAAGAGAGACATACATGGATCTAAACTACGGGACAGAGAAAAAGACAAAATCTGTGTAAGTTGAGAGCATGGGGACCATGGGGAGAGCAGAATGGGAGGGGAAGGAAGAGAGGGGGTAGAGAAAATATACAGCTCGATAAAAACAGTAAAATAATAATAATAAAAAGTTTAAAATATATAGCCGCAGCTCAAAAAGACAAAATATACACCTACCTTTTAGCCCAAGGCCCCCTTTCACATGTAAGATAGAGTCTAATTGCCTTCCACCATCTAAAAGAGGCCAACTGTTGACTGCTAAGTTGTTTAATCATATTATTGTACCTCAAGTTCTCTTGACGTGCTTTTCGATTAAATGGCTCCACAAAATACTCCTAAAATAAACAGCGAAAGGAACATTTTATAATATATTTACAAATTTTAATTTGACCAATAAGAATGGTGTATGAGGAAAGAGATAATAACATCATCTTCTTATTTTATTACAATATTTGTCTTTGATGAGGACGGTAGAATTTCAGTTATGTTCTACTTATGTATTCTGACGCATAAAAAGGGAGCACACATGCATTATGGTTGATAAAATACATCAGTGGGGTAAAAGGCATCTCCTGCAGAGCACAACAGGCTGAATTTCCTCCCAAGCACCCCAAGTGTGGTGGTCTACGCCTGTAACCCCAACACTAAGGAGGTAGAGTCAGGAAGATCACAAGTTTAAGGTTATCCTTAGCTGTATATCAAATTTGAAGCCACTCCGTGATACCTAAGACTATTTAAAAAACAAAAAAGTTAAAACTTTTTAAAAAAAAGAATTGATGTAAATCTAGAGGAACAAGCTGTGAATGAATTGTAGCTGTTACCAGACGTGTGAAGGGAATTGTACCTGGATTCGACTAAAACAGACCACTGCTGAGAAAACGGAGGAAGTCATAAAGTTCCACGAAAACCAAGTAAGAACTCATCCCCACCCTTATTACATCTATACAACTTCTTCATTAAATGTTTGGTAGTGGGCTGGTGCAGGAAACCATGGAGTCGGCTTAAGAGGCATGTGTTATAGTTTCTCAGGTTTGAGTCCATGGCTCTTGGGGTACAATGTGTTTTCCAGTTCCAGAGATACTGATGCAGTCCCTCAGGCAGTGAAGCATTCATGCTACCTCGGGTTTATCTGTACATTCCCTTTGTAGCCATGGAATCAAGAAAACCTGACAGGACAACAGGTCTTAGATATTAATCTTGCGTACCCTGTATGGCTTGCAAAGATCACTGTATCCTAGCACCTACAATTGTATTGATCCTGCCAATTGCCAGTCTATTCTGTTTCTGATAAAGGTCTAAAGAGTCTATTTGCTCTCAGTATATTGTCACAACCTCAGTTGTGCTGTGTGGACTCTCCAAGCTGGCCTGATTTCCTTGACCTTACTGGTAAAGTAAGCACAAGTGCTGACAGGCGGGAAATACGGCACAGCTGGCAGAATGTTATCTAGCAGTCCAATCAATAAAAAGGCACCAACAGTGGCAAACTCATCTGGAAAGTGAAAACAGGAGGGTCCTAAGTTCAAGGCCATCTTTGCAGAAACAGAAAATTAGTTCAAGGTCAGTAGGGGCAACAGGAGACCCTGCTTCAAAGAATAAACATGCAATTAAGAAGTTAGGTAAATTTGCTAGTAAAACCACGCAGACCTTGCATTTTCTCTTTTTAAAGGTATATAAATTTAACTTTATTTATACATAAAAGACTATGCAGGTTATCTGTACATTTTAAAATAAATTTTAAATCCTCTACCTACCAAGAAACTGGTGGATCTGAGTAGTCATATTTCCACGTTCTAAGCAACTTACATCTGTGGGGCTGATGGCAACACTGCCTCTTTCATTTCTGCTTCAAGAAAGTTTTCATTTCTCTTTGTCAAGCTGACTAAAAGTTTATTGATTTTGAGAACATTTTCAAGAGTTCAATTTCAGATTCACTGATTTTTCTTTTTCTGCTTTTATTTACTTATTTTAATTGGTGTGCTGCAGAGATGGCCTGGGGTTAAGAGCGCTTCTGGCTCTTATAGAAGACCAAGTTCAGGCCCAGCACCAACACAGTGGTCCACAACTACTTGTAACTCTAGTTCCAGGGGTTTGATATTCTCTTCTGACCTCTTAGGCCTCTTGCACATAACCAGGTACAAGCATGTATTCAAGTACACACACACACACACACACACACACACACACACACTAATAAAAATAAATAACTTTAAAATGTTTAATTGGCTGGGTGGTAGTGCCACACACCTTTAATCCCAGCACTTGGGAGGCAAAGGCAGGCGGATTTCTATGAGTTCGAAGTCAGCCTGGTCTACAAAGCTAGTTCCAGATCAGCTAGGGCTACACAGAAGAAACTCTGTTTTAAAAACAAACAAAATGTTTAATTGAAACTAATTTGTGTGAGTGGAGGGCACATCAAAACACCCTAGCAGTATCTACTAACAGATTTTCAACTTAATAAGATGTTTTACACACTCATAAAGTCAATTTTTACTATTAAAATGGTTAATGATTGACCTTCTTTCCAAATTTCTGGTAGAGTTACTTTCATATAATAGTAAATACTGGTAGTTAACATGAAAACTCAATCTAGAAAACAGCTTTTACCTGAAATTTCAATTTACTTTCTCCTCCCTCTCGGTCTCTTTTATGCATATTCACCATTAAGGCTTCATAGCAATTCTTCCAGTAAAGTGCCATGTTCTCATGACCATCATAAAATGTATGTGTTTCATACTGCTTCATGTAAGGTATAATCTTAGATGAGAGAAAAAGAAAGAATACACAGAATTTACATACTCCTCTATAAAAATGATAAATCAACAGAAAAGTATTGCTCAGAAAAGATAAAACTGTGAGACTGGAAGGATGACTCAACAGTTAAAAGAATACTTGCTGAGAGCAACCACAGGCCCCAGCACTCATATGCATCTTGCAACCCTAGCTCCAAGGGATTTCACACCCTCTTCTGGTCTCTTTGTGTGCAGCACACACCTGCACACATACGCAAGCATACACTTATGCACACACATATAAATAAAGAAAAATGACTTTAAAAACTTACGTATTTTTCAATGTAAACTTGCCATTCATCTGAATTGCAGTATTCTTGAAAATCTTCAAAAAATGAAGTACTTCCATCAGTAAAAGGCAAAGAAGGCAGGTGCAAGTTCATGAAAAGAAGCTCATAAATTTTAGAAACCAGAGTACGGAAAAGAGGAATCAGAAATGAATAGATTTCTGTCTGTTCCTTGATCGACCGACTTAGAATATGTTCTAGTTTCCCTAAAATGTAGCATGCTTCATTTTGATTTTCAATCACTTTAGTCTGAAGAAGGGCATTTAGCTTAGCTGATGCTATTGCACAAACCTGAAAGAAAAAAGGTTAAAAGAGAAAAAAAAATCATTAAAGCAAACATAGACTATTAGCAAAAGATCTGACTCACTCCAAAAATTTATAAGTTTTATGTAGTAATTGTCAATGACTATGGATTTACTTTACTTCCAAGCAAAAAGTTAAGTGTGCAATGGTTTCATAGACATTGGCATGAAACTATTTGGAGAGAGACAAAAACCCACAAAAATTTTTAATAATCACACTATCACCATTTGGACTGATTCCCCAATTCCAATTCTAAGTGAAATAAAACCTGTAAGACATCTGCATACAGGCTGGTTGCTCAGAGAGAACACCCAGTGTAGGAGGGCTCAGCACTTTTTATATTCAGCTGATCTTTGCCTTCAAGAAAGGGACTAGCTTTCTTACAGTGGGCAGCCAACAAGCTTGCCTTTTACTCTAGAAAGAATCATGGTTTCTATCTTTAACAGCTTCACAATACGAAACAACTCAAAAGAATGGATATCCAGGTGTGGTGGCACCCACTTTTAAGCTTAGTACTTGGGAGGCACAAGTAGGCAGATCTCTATGATGGGCAGCCTGGTCTAGTGAGTTCCAGGATAACCAGGACTATACCTCAAAACAAAAACAAAAACACTCCAGAACAGCTTGAATAAATAGAGAGAACCTATCTCAAAACAATCAAACAAAAAACCCAGAATGATAAAAAAAACAACAAAAGAATAAATAACAAGAACAATTAGTCACATGATTAAACAGAAATGCAATAGACTTGTGGAGAACTATCTACCAACAATGACTATAGGAAGCAGCAGTATTTTTCTCTGGGGAAAACTGTAAGCTAAGACTGCTTTTCATTTTATGGCTGCCTCAGATCTGAATAATCACACAGAAACTACACTAATTATAAGACTGTTTGGCCAATGCCTCAGGCATATTTCTAGCTATCTCTTACATCTTGAATTAACCCATTTCTATTAATCTATGTATCATCACAAGACTGTGGACTCACCAAGGTTCCAGCATTTCCAGCTTCTCCTTTGGCAGCTACCCGTCTTCTCTTTGACTCTGCCTACTCTCTATCTCTGTTCTGATTTCTCACCTGGCTTTACTCTGCTAAGCCTTTGACCCAAATAGCTTTATTCATCAACCAATAAAAGCAACATATATACATCCCACATCAGAAAATGAAGTTGAAAACAGGCCCAATTGTAATTTGCATCCTTAAGCAAAGAACAGTGTGGTGAGAATAGCAAATAAGCAGACTGACTGAATCCTGTCTTAAACTCATCTTAATAAAGCAATTCTCAATTATTTGTGAGAGAGAACAAATCTCAATGAAGTCTGTTTTGGAGTTTCATTACATGGAATCATAACTATTTGACTACATACAGATATATAAGGAGTCTGGGACCTTAACTACAAATTTAATTAACCTTAAACTTCCTAGGACAAACACATATTAATAGTACAAGCCCAAGCAAAAGAGAACTCTCCATTATTATTCATTCAATCACTAGTACTGAAGTGGAAACAGCTAATGAAAAAGGGTTTGAGGAGGAGAAGAAATGAGAATACAGCCACTGGACTAGAGATTTTTTGTAATAGGCCAGTTTTATGTTAAAAAAAAAATTCTCTCTCCATACTCTTAACAACATCACATCTAGTTTAGGAACAGCACTAGAATTCTGTCTCATCTTAATCCTCTTTATCCAATAATAAAGCTGAATATTTAAAAGAATTCAGGGTTAGAGCTGGTTAGTAAATGAAACGTTTGCTATACAAGTATAATGATCTGAGTTTGAATCTGCAGGGTCCACATAAAAGCTGACATGTTAGTGCTAGACTGTAATTCTGCCACTACTATACAAAGATGAGAAACCAAGACAGGAGAATTCCTGGAAACTCAGGGGTCAGCTAGCCTGGTGTACAAAACAGTAAACAACAAAACAGGTCCTGCTCTAAATAAAGGTACATGTTGAGGACCAACACCCAAGGTTGTCCTCTGACCTCCATAGGATGCTGGGCCACAAATGTTCATTCTCTCAATGACATACACACACAAACACACACACTCAAATACAAACAAAAGTAAATAGATATCAAATATTTATCAAGACTAAATGTACCCAATGAGAACGGAAAAACAACAGAGCAAATGTCAGAGGAATTTTCTAACTTTTTACAATTTCATTTACAATAGGAATAATATTCTTTGTGAATACATTTTATCTTTAGTTCTTAAATCTAGCAAAAATCATTAGCATGTACATAACTGGTATTTCATAAGTGAACAAATATATAACAGAGTGTAAAACTTTGGATTAGTAAAACAGTTCAAAAGAAAAGTTATCATAAATCATTTTCCCTAAAAATATAATTCCTAAAATTCACATATACAAATATCCCTGCAAAGCTATTTAGCAGCTAGCAAGCCACAGTGAATACAGATGACCTGTGAGTAACCCTAAAAGGAAGCATTAAAATAAGAGTCCTAAGTCCGAGAATAACAAAAAGCTGCTTCTTAAGCTCCTTTCTGATCTTACCAAATTGAAATTTCAAGTGAAAAGAGAGTATGAGAGATAGTTCAACAGGTAAAGGTATGTGCCACAAAGACTTATGACCTGAGTTTGATTCCAAAAACCATGTAGTCTCTGCCCTCCACATAAGTGCACAATGCAGGCACATAAAATAAATAAATACAAAAAAATTTTAAGAAAGTACTGAAAAGGCATTTTTATCTTGTTATACATCAGTAACTATGGTATATTAGAAGACAGAAAATAGCATAAAAAGAAATGACAAACCTGCAAACTGCCTCTTCCAATGAACTCCAGAAGCAACTGGATCTGTATCTGAGAGAGCTTTACCCATCCTGGACTCTCAGAATACCACGCTGACAGATAATCAAGGAGCTGTGTGGTATCTTCTAAAAGCTATCACACACACACAGAATTGAGAAATAAAAACATCCATTTTTTAAATGTACTGATTTTTCTTCAACACTAATACCAATCATAAACACTGCAGAAGTAGTTTAATGTGTAATTGCCAAAAACCAAAGAACCATCGTAACAACTAATAAAAATCTGTGTTTACTACATTTGATTAAACATTAATGCTCCAAAAGGAAGAGACGCAAAATTTCTTTCTTTACATAATTCTGAACTACCCAAAATATTTATCTGTATATTATAATTTGTTTTGTTTGCAATAACATATCACACTATAGCTCAGGCTAACCTGGAACTGTCTATGTATGTAGCTCCTACTGAACTCAAATTGTGACAATCCTTCTGCCTCACCCTCTTAAAAGTTAAAATCACAAGCTTTAGCCACTACCCTAGGACCTGAAAAGCAATTTCAAAGGGTCGTTACTAACCTTCTCAGTCCACATGTTTGAATTAACCAGTCCTTCTGACTGCAGGAAGTCCTGTATGATCAGCATGAGTCGGAAGGCATTTTCAGCAGTTACAGGACTACTTTTTGCATCTCTGTGTTCTGTGACTGTCCATTCTAACATCTTCTGTAGCAAACTAAGCATAAAATAAAGTTCTCTTAAAACCATTATAAGCTTGGAAAGAAAAACCAAAAAAAAACAGTTACTTATTAGTAGCACTGTAACTCCAAAGATATACTCTCACCAACAGGCTGTCACTAAGATCGTAGATTGAGGACTTCTGGGGCAAATGGCAGGCTGTTTCTGTGCGGTGTAGTATGAAAGAAGTTAGAATAAAATAAGAAACAGACTATTCCAAAGAAAGAAACAGAAGAAAAAAATTATACATCAAAGTAAAAGAATACTTGAGAAATGTGAAGGAAAAGACAGGAAGCAAAATTCCAGCCTCTGAGACCTCTACAAGGAGAGGGGAAGAAGAAGCCTTCAAAAGTTAAGGGAGCAAGGGATGGACAATCCTCAGAGTTGCTAGCTCTAGTGAGACAGTGATCTCTAGTGGATGAAGAGAAAAGCCTCCCTGCTGCTCTGTATGACTTATAAGGGCAGCGAGCAGACATCATCTTGAGAATTTACCCTTAAGAACTAAGTTACCACCGGGAATGGTGGCATACACCTTTAATCCCAGCATTGGAGAGGCAGAGGCAAGAGGATTTCTCTGAGCTCCCAGCCAGCCAGCACTACACAGTAAGGCCCTTTTGAGGTGGGGGTGAGAGGATGGAAACAAAAATTTAAAAATTACAATAAAATTCTGAGCTAGCATGAGGGCCTGACAGCAAAGAACAAATACAGGTTACAAAGCTTCAATACAGCCTGCAGGGTAAGACTCAATCAGGAACCTGAAACAGCAACCATGGAGGTACTCTGCTTACTGGCTTGCTCTTCATGGTTTACTCAGGCTGCCTTCTTAAACTACCAAACACTGTTTACCCAGGGGTGGTACTGCCTACAGTGAATTAAGCCTTCCCATATCAGTTATTAATCAAGAAAATGCCACAAAAGCTTTACTACAGGTAACTCTTACAGAGATATATTCTCAATTGAGGTTTCTCTTTCCAAATGATTGTAGCTAGTGTTGACAAAAACTAACCAACATATTCCTTAAACTGTTCCATGAAATAGCAAGGTAAGGAACATCATCAGATTTGTTCTGTGAAGTCCCAAATTACCCTGATACCAAACTAGATACAGATACAATGTGGAGGTTTGAATGAAAATGTTCCCTACAGGCTCATATGTTTGAATGCTTGGTTTCAGTTCATTAAACTGTTTAGAAAGGACTGGGAGGTGTGGCCTTGTTGAAAACTGTGTGTTACCAGATGCAAGCTCCCAGCTAGCTCTATCTCCTACTTGGAGATAAAGAAGTGAGCTCTGAGCAACATGCTCCATTGCCATGCTCCCCACCATGGTTAGAGACTAACCCTCTGGAACCATGAGCCACAAACTAAATACTTTCTTTTATAAGTTACTTTGTTCATGGTGTTTTATACGGCAATAGGAAAGTAACCAAGACACATAATAATAAGAAAAAAATTACTTTAATGAATATAACACAAAGATAATAAAAATTTTGCAAACCAACGTCAAGAACACACTGACAGGATCATATACCATGACCAAGTTGGTTTCATCCTAGGATGCAAAGATGGTGCAACAAACACAAATCAGTAAGTATAATAGAGTATGGAGACATTAAGAATAGAAGTCACACTATCATCTCATTAGATGTAGAAAAAGCCCTCAACAAAGTTCACCGCTCCTTCATGGTAAAAGACCTAGAAACTATGAATAGACAGAACATCCTTAATGTAGAAGACTACAAGAAAGACCAAATACTAACATTAAACTGAATGGTGGGGACAGAGAGAAATGAAAGGTCTAGCAGTAGACCTCTAAAACTACTGAATACTTTTAACAAAGTAATAATGTACAAAATCACCATTACAAGTAACTAACTTACAAGGAAAGAAATCAGGGCTTGGTAGGATGGGAGAGAACCTCATCTCATTCAGAAGAGCTTAAAACAACAAATCTATGTAACAAAGAAGTGAATGACTTCCACAACAGGAACCTTAAGACACTAATAAAATAAAGCAACAGAAAAATGGAAAACCTCCTGTAATGGTATGTTCTGTCTCTTTAAGAGACAATCCAATGCCCACTCCCTCTCCAGGCACATCCTCAACCCCCCCCCCCCCAGAGAACCTAGACAACAATGAGAACCCTAAGACAGGTATACTTGGATCTAATCTACATGGGAAGTAGAAAAAGACAAAATCTCCTGAGTGAATTGGGAGCATGAGTAGCATGGGAGAGGGTTGGAGGGGAGAGGAGATGAAGTGAAGGGAGCCAAGAAAAATATAAACCTCAATAAAATCAATAAAAAAATAAAAAATTCAGGAAAACACAAAGTAAAACTTCCTTCAGATTCCTTCTCACCCGAGACTCAAGAATGAATATCAAGAGAACAAATGAAGAAATGTTGGTGAGGATGTAGGGAAAGAGAATTTGTACTTTTTTTCTACATTCTACTAGAACAGTAAAACCAAGGAAGAAACATATTAAATAGCTTCTTCTTCTCTCTGCCTCTACTATATACTGAATTAAGGAATCAGTATTTAATTTTAGACTACCAATCCGTTCTACAGAGGGGTTCACAAAAATCACTAAATGAATACTTACATTAGTTTTACTTCATCTGACGATCGAAGTAGTTCACTTGATATTCCTGGTTTAGTTAATGCTGAAAACACTTGTCCTCTTTCAACCCAAGTGTCTTCATCGGACTTTTCTAGTCCTTTACACATTATATAATTCAAAATATTTGTAACCAACTGAAGAAGCTCCTCTTCACATTCCTATAAAACATTAAGTAATACTAAATTATTAGAGTTAGGAAACATTAAAAAGCATAACACAGAGCCATCTACATATACTTGTTATTTACGTACGTTATTTTTAGCATTTAATTTTTATTATTTTTAATTATGTGTAGGTATGTTTCTGAATGTGCGTATGGGCACATAAGTGAAGGTGCCTAAGGAAGCCAAAGCTGTCAGATCCCTGGAGCTAGAGTTACATACAGTTGAGAGCTTTCTGATGAGAGTTCTGGGAATGGATCTCAGGTCTTCTGGAAGCACATCAAGTGTTCTTAACTGCTGAGGTCCCTTTCCTGTCCCCTTTTAAGATGCTTTTATTGCCTGAAGACACAAAATGTTTCAGATGCAGGCTCTGTTCTAAAGAGAGGGATGGGGTGCTAGAAAGATGGCTAAGTGGTTACTGGTCAAAGTGGTTCAATTCAGGCACCCAAATGGTGGCTTACAACCATTCATAACTTGAATTCCAGGACACTCAATCCCTTTCTGTGTATGTGGGGGTTCAGGACAGGGGTTCTCTGTGTAACAATCCTGGCTGTCCTAGAAATAGCTCATGTGGGAGTCCCCTCTGTGTTGCTGTGATTACCATTAATGAACAAAGAAACTGCCTTGGCCTGTAGATAGGGCAGAATTTAGGTAGGTGGGGAGGACTGGACTGAATGCTGGAAGAAAAAAGGGCAGAGTCAGAGAAATGCCATGGAGCCGCCAGAATCAGACAGGCTAAAACTTTGCGGGTAAGCCACTGTTACATGGCAATACACAGATTAATAGAAATGGGTTAAATTAAAATATAACAGTTAGCCAATAAGAAGCTAGAGCTAATGGGCCAAACAGTAATTTAAATAATACAGTTTCTGTTTGATTATATCGGGCCTAAGCTAGCCGGTGGCTGAGACAAACAAGTGGTTCCTTCTCCAACAGACTGGTGCCCATGTGGCCAGCTAAATCCATTTAAAACCTAAGAGAGTTTGAAAAGGAATTCTAGACACAAAAATACAGGGCTAACACAGTTTCTTGCTGTTTGCTGGCGGCATGGAACAGCTCCATTAAGAGAGGTTTCCTCACTCTGCAGCAGCAGTAGAGAAAAAAAGCCGCACTGTTTTGAAATGCAGGCTTTCTGGGACGAGATGCCAGCATGACTTCTGGCTCTTTCAGGAGACCAAGTATTTGGATGGGGTTTGTGAGCAGACTGATACAGCTTGCTTAATGGCGACATGGACTGGCTGTGTGCCTAAGAATGGGGCTGTTGGCATGGCTCTCAGAGCCAGAAAACAGCACTGCCATGCTGGACTGTGCAGAGCAAGCAGGTGTATCATATATATCATAGTAATGGCACAGCTTAAGTTTTAGACTAGGTGGGCAAGCAGTTAGTACTGTATAAACCCTAGTACTGGAGCACCTAAAGTTTTAAGAAGCACTTGGCATTTTAAAAAGTGCTCCTGGACAGTAAAGAATTACAGATATGCAATAAACAGAAATCCAGATGAGTCACAGTGCTGGATAAATGTACGTAGGCTTGAGAGAAGAAAAAAAGTACAGAGAGTTGGAAAAGAAGTAAATTGTTTTAAAAAAAAGGCTTTAAAGAGACAGAGTACAGATAGTCATAGATTAAAAAGGAGTAAAGAAAAATAAGCCATGTAAAAATGGAAAATTGACAGAGATTCTGGAACATGTATGTATATTATTGTGTTATCTTTGAATTTTTTTGACTGTGAATGAGCTAGGTATAGACATTTCACTGTATAGGCTGCTAAGCTAAATCAGCATGTATATTATAAAGGTATCATGACCCAGTTTGGGTCTAAGGATATATTGCTTTGAAAAAGAGGTTCTTCTCTTGTTTCCACAGAGGATGAGAACCTGTGCATTGCTTCCAGACTGGTGTGGTTTGATAGAGCATGACCCACTGAAAGGCTGCCGTGAACACTCAAAAAATTACTTCACCCAACTGCTGACTGAGATAAACCTAGCATATAGGATACACCATGAAAGACCTGATTAACAGTATCTCTAACATGCAGGAAGCAGTATGAACAGATCTACACTCATATTTCTAAATATTGTTTATAATTGTTTCTTTGCATTTAAAGGGGGATATGCTATAGATACAAATAATTTGCATTGGATGTATCTTGGTTTATTGTTACAAATTTAAGGTCAATTTTGTTATGTATATTTATGCTCTTTATTAAGGTATTATGATTGTGTATTTCCTGTAAAAATGTAATAATTAAGAAATATAGGTAGAGTCATCTATAACAGTCAAGCTTGTAGTTATGTTAGATTTTCTAGATATACAGAGATGCATTTCACTTAGATAGGTATTCTTCAGATCTTTCAGAGACCCTCAGAATATGGCATTTAAAATATTTTAAAACTTAAGACTTTTCATGACAATGAGACACATCTGCTCCTGGCAGCACAAGCTACTTCAAGAGGAAGGTGGGCACTGAAGAGGCTCCTTATAGAGTTGGTTAGCTATTTGGACAAGAAACTGCTCTTTCCTGGACTGTTCAACTGGACATGAAGGACCCACAGAGAAATGACTGCTGAACTTGCCTAAAGGTGAGATGATCCTTCGAGGTTCCTGCTTCATGAAAGTGTCTGCAAAACATTCTACAGGATATAGAAGTGACTGAACTATCTTTGAAATTTCCTGCTTCATGGAAAAGTCTGCTGGATACTATGGGCCTGTAGGCTGAAGATGGATGCCCCAATGGTATAGAACTTTGGGTGACTGTCCAAGCAGCGAGATGTTTCTGTCAATTCTCGAGTTTTGGAAGTTGATTAGAATGTACTTCCTGTTTACTTAGGTAGTATTTTATCCTTCTGGAGTGTTTGATGGAGTTGAAGAATTTATACTTATAGTTTTCCTAAGTTATGATAAAAGATAAAATAGATATAAATATTGTAACTGTAATTCTTGCTTGATAACTGTTTTGTTATATGTATTTTTACTATGTTAAAGTCAAAACCTCCCTTTTCATTCAAACAGAAAAGGGAGGTGATGAGGGAGTCCCCTCTGTGTGCTGTGATTACCATTAATGAATAAAGAAAATGCCTTGGCCTGTTGATAGGGCAGAACTTAGGTAGGCAGGGAGGACTGGACTGAATGCTGGGGGAAAGAAGGACAGAGTCAGAGAGCCGCCATGGAGCCATCAGAGTCAGACATGCTGAAATTTGCCGGTAAGTCACTGCAATGTGGTGATACAGAGATTAATGAAGATGGGTTAAATTAAAATACAAGAGTTAGGAAATAACAAGTGAGAGCTAATGGTCCAAGCAGTGATTTAAATAATATAGTTTCTGTGTGATTATTTTCAGATCTAAGCTAGCCGGGCGGCTGAGATGAACAAGCAGCCCTTCCTCCAACAAACAGCTCTTATACAACAGGCTGGTCTTAAACTTACAGAGATTCACCTGCCTCAGTCTCCCGAGTGCTGGGATTAAAGGCGTGTGCCAACACCACCAGACTAAATGTCCTTTTTCACCTCCACAGGCACCAGGCACAAACATGGTACATGTACATACACACCAACACAGAATAAGATAACCTAACATGTGCGAGTCTGTATGCTCAAATCCTATTACCATACATATACATACAAATGCAGGCACACCAAAACAAAACAAAAAAGGAAGATATTTACAAGTGACTTGTGACAATGACCGTTCTAAATTTTAGATGAGACTTAGACTATGAGTGGAAATATTAGTAACAGCTCACATACTGCAAAGGACCAGATCTAATGAGAATTAAAACTGATTTTGGAAGGATAAGCAAATTTACCTCTTTGCTTTCAAGGAAGGCGAAGTCATCACTAAAGTCCATTTCATTTGTGATACTCCTTTCTCTGTCAGATGGCACAGAAAACGACTTAGTAGACTCCACTGGGGATGGTGTGCTAGGTGAACTGTCTGGCATTTGACTTCCACACTCACTCAGTTCACATGAGTCAGTTCCACTGAGATCTAAACTCAGATGGGAAGTGTTACTATGCCAGAATTCTTCATTTTCTGACTTGAAAGATAATTCTACTTCAGAGTTTACTTCTTGAAATAATGGTGTATTTGAGTTCAGGGACTGACTATCTTCCAAACTCCAATGATCTGAAGATACATCAGGTAATGTCATTTTTTCATCATCTAGCTTTTCAGTGGACATATTTTTATTTTCTTTCACTGAAACAGCCTTTCCATGTTTATGAAGAGAATTTACATTTTCAAAGTTTGCTTTTAGGAGAAGTCTAACAAAGGTATCTTGCCAACCCACTTGCTGTGCTATCTGGTGTGCTGCTTCTGGCTGGGACTGCAAAATCTGTAATATCTGCAAAGAGAACAAAAATTACAAAAAATAATACAAAATTCTTCAAAAGCTATACAGTATTTTTATGAAAAGATCTCTTTTCAATTATTTTAATAACAGAGTATTACTCTGTCTATAACTGAGAAACAATAAAATAAACTTTCAAATTATGTTCTGTGTGTGGTATATGTGACTATGTGCATGTGCAGATACATACGCTTACACATAGAGTACAAAGAAGGGTACTGAATGCTTTATTCTATCACTACCCACCTCATTCCCTTGTAGGAGGGTCTCTTACTGAACCTGGGCTAGGGCAGTGGCCAGCAAGACTCAGCTACCTTATGACTCTAGCTCCTAAAATGCTGGGGTTGCAGACAACACACAAGAACACACACAGCTTTTACATGGATGCCGAGGATTCATTTCTTTATGCTTGTGAAATTACTGTTATTGACTGATTTATCTTGTCATCCCGGGATTATGTTCTTACTAGATTATAAAATATCTGAAGCTCTTTGATATTGTAGTATTAATAAATCTAATATTACTTCTGCACAGAGTAAAGATGTGCTAGAGAACACAAAAACCATGTGATTAATTTGTTGAAATAAAGTATTAATAAGATGAAAGTATATATAAAATTTAATAAAGTGATCATTATCTCAATCAAATCAGTTTTCATGAGCTTATTATATTTTTGAAGCAAGGATTACTGAGTAACAGACATGTATCAGCAACGAGCGTAGACAGCAGAGCTAGGGGACACAAGAAAATTATTTTTTTTAGTGATTTTATTGAGCTTTATATTTTTCTCTGCTCCCTTCACTTCCTCTCCCCTCCCCTTCTACTCTGTCCCATGGTCCCCCATGCTCCCAATTCACTCAGGAGATCTTGTCTTTTTCTACTTCCCATGTAGATTAGATTTTGTAGGTCTCCCTTAGTGTCCTCGTTGTTGTTTCAACTCTATGGGACTGTGGTTTCTAGGTTAGTTTTCTTTGCTTTATGTTTAAAAACCACCTATGAGTGAGTAGATGTGATATTTGTCTTTCTGGGTCTGGGTTACCTCACTCAATGTGATGTTTTCTAGATCCATCCATTTGCCGGCAAATTTCAAGATGTGATTTTTTTTCTGTGCTGTGTAGAACTCCATTGTGTAAATGTACCACATTTTCCTTATCCGTTCTTCAGTCGAGAGGCATTTAGGTTGTTTCCATGTTCTGCCTATGACAAACAATACTGCTATAAACATAGTTGAGCCCATGTCCTTGTGTTACAATTGGGCATCCTTTGGGTATATACCCTACCTAAAGTGGTATTGCTGGGTCTTGAAGAAGGCTGTTTCCTAATTTTCAGAGAAATCACAACACTGATATCCAAAGGGGCTGTACTAATTTGCACTCCCACCAGCAATGGGGGAGTGTTCCCTTTACTCAATATTCTCTGCAACACAAGTTGTTGTCAGAGTTTTTTATCTTGGCCATTCTCACAGGTGTAAGATGTAAACTCAGGGTTGTTTTGATTTGCATTTCTCTGATGGCTAAGGACATTGAGCACTTCCTTAAGTGTCTTTCAGCCCTTTTAGATTCCTCTGTTGAGAGTTCTCTGTTTAGGTCTGTACTCTACTTTTTTATTGGATTATTTGTTCTTTTGATGACAAATCTTTCGTGTTCTCTGTATATTTTGGAAATCAGACCTCTGTCTGATGTGGGGTTAGTGAAGATCTTTTCCCATTCTGTAGGCTGCTGTTTTGTCTTGGTCACTGTGTTTTTTGCCTTACAAAAGCTTTTCAGTTTCAGGAGGTCCCATTTATTAATTGTTTCTCTCAGTGTCTGTTCTGCTTGGGTTATATTTAGGAAATGGTCTCCTGTGCCAATATGTTCAAGTGTACTCCCACTTTTTCTTAGAAGTTCAGTGTGGCTGGCTTTATCTTGAGGTCTTTGATCCATTTGAAATTGAGTTTTGTGCATGGTGATAGATATGAATCTATTTTCATTCTTCTATATGTATCCAGTTATGCCAGCACCATTTGTTAAATATGCTTTCTTTTTTCCATTTGATATTTTTTGCTTCTTTGTCAAAAATCAGGTTTTCATAAATGTGTGTATATCTGGTTATCAATTCAGTTCCATTGGTCCTCTTGTCTAATTTTATGCCAATACCTGGCTGTTTTCAGTACTGTAGCTCTGTATTTTCTTTATTGTACAGGACTGTTTTGGCTATCCTGAGGATTTTTTTTTCTTTTCTATATGAAACTAAGTACCATTCTTTTGAGGTCTGTGAAGAATTTTCCTGGGATTTTGATGGGCATTGCATTGAATTTGTAGATTGCTTATGGTAAGATTGTCATTTTTACTATGTTAATTCTACCTACTCAAGAGCATGGGAGATCTTTCCACTTTGGGGTGTCTTCTTTCTATTTCTTTCTTCAAAGATTTAAAGTTGATGTCATACAAGTCTTCCACTTGTTTGGTTAGAGTTTCTCTGAGATATTTTAAGCTATTGTGGCTATTGTGAAGGGTGATTCTTTGGTTTCTTTCCCAGCCCTTTTATCATCTGTATACAGGAGGGCTACTAATAATTTTTAGTTAATCTTGTATCCTGCTACATTACTGAAAGTGGTTTATGAGTTGTAGAGGTTGTGATGACAACTTATGCTGTAGATGTTGTGGGGCAAAAGGAACAGTTCTGCATTGCTGGTGGTAATGCAAGCTGGTACAACCCCTTTGGATGTCAGTATGGTGGTTTCTCAGGAAATTAGGAAACCACCTTTCTCAAGACCCAGTAATACCACTTTTGGGTATATATCCAAAGGATGCTCAATCGTGCCACAAGGACATGTGCTCAACTACGTTCATAGCATTGTTTGTCATAGCCAGAACCTGGAAACAACCAAAATGCCCCTTGACAGAAGAATGGATAAGGAAAATGCGGACAGTTACACAATGGAGTATTACACAGTAGAAAAAAATGACATCTTGAATTTTGCAGGAAAATGGATGGAGCTAGAAAACATTATTTTGCATGAGATAACCCAGACACAGACAATTATCACATGTACTCACTCATAAGTGGTTTTTAAACATAAAGCAAAGAAAACCAGCCCACAAATCACAATCCCAGAGATCTTAGACAACTATGAGGACCCTAAAAGAGACATACATGGTTCTAATCTACATGGGAAGTAGAAAAAGACAAGATCTCCTGAATAAACTGGGAGCATGTGGACTTTGCGGGTGGGTTCAAGGGGAGGGAAGTGGCAGGAAAGGGAGCAGAGAAAAATATAGAGCTCAATAAAAATCAATAAAAAATAATACGGGTGCGTGCACCCACCCACGGAGACAGTGGAGCTGATCTATTGGGAGCTCACCAAGGCCAGCTGGACTGTGACTGAAAAAGCATGGGATAAAACCGGACTCTATGAATATGGCGGACAATGAGGGCTGCTGAGAAGCCAAGGACAATGGCACTGGATTTTGATCCTACTTCATGTTCTAGCTTTGTGGGAGCCTAGCCAGGTTGGATGTTCACCTTCCTAGACCAGGATGGAGGGGGGAGGACTTTGGACTTTCCACAGGGCAGGGAACCCTGACTGCTCTTCAGACTGGAGAGGGAGGGGAAGAGGAGTGGAAGAAGGGGGAGGGGGAGGGAAACGGGAGGCTGGGAGGAGGTGGAAATTTTTTTTCAATAAAAAATAAATAAAATAAAAAGAATTCAGTGGAAAAAAATAATACAAATGAAAACTTTAATTTTAGCATTTAACTTTTAATTAGTTGACAGAGATGCCTCTGATACCTTTTAAAATCATTAACTGCACTCATAACAGTTGGGTTACATTCAACCATATTAGGTATTTGGAAATATTTTTATATTTGCATTTTCTTGCATCATTTTTATTCACGTTAATAGTAATAGATACTAATAACAAAAAAGATGTTAATAAAACATGGAAAGAGAAGAAACTTAATTGTCTATCAATATGAAACTACATAATATTCTAAAGAATAAATACAGAATGAAAGCTATGCAACCAGATATGTTGAGATGGCTTAGTGGGTCATGTGGTAAGGGTTACCCGGACAGGAGAGAAAATGTCATAATCAAAATGAAGCACAAAGCCAAAGCAAGTCTCCCAAAGGTTAAATGTAAATTGAAGATAAATTATATGAACTTTTATAAACAAATATTAGGAAATTATTTCCATAAAGTTGAAAAGACACAAATTTTTACAGGTATATCCAGCATGAGATCATGAGCTCATGCATATGAGGATAGCTATGAATGAAGCTCTACACATCTTTAGATAACAATATCATGTCATAATGTCAAAAATTTAGACATACGGGTTCCAGAAAAATGGCTTGGTTAGAAAAAGACACTTGATGTCCAGCCTGAAGACTTGGGTTTGATCCCTGGTATCCACAAAGCAGGAGAAGAACCAACTCCCCAAGTGGTTTTCTAAGCTCTATTTTCTCACTGAAGCATGGACATACTCACACTTGAATGTACACACACACACACACACACACACACACACACACACACACACCAAATAAATAAAATGTAATACTTAAAATACATTTAGATAGTTAGACCCTTTGAAATATGGTGAAACCATTAGAAATGACCAGGACCAGACACAGACGTAGTGGTGCAATACCAGCCACTTGGGAAACTGAAGCAGAAGATCACAACTTTAAGGTGAGTTTAAGAAACAGATTGCTTCTTCAAAGTAAAAAAAATTTAAAAGGAACATGGAGTGTAGTGTTTACCACAAAGAAAGGGAAGAGGATGGGGGAAGAAGATCAGGGGAAGAAAAAGGGAAAATGGGAAGGGAGGAGGGAAAAAAAGAGTACATGCACTGAGGGTTCTGGGAAAGGATGGTATTTTCTGGCAGTAAATAATGAAAAGAAATTATTTACAGAAGAGGAAGTAAAGCTAACTCTTGACATACTGGAACCAGGTGGTGGTGGTGCATGCCTTTAATCCCAGCACTCCAGGAGATAGAGACAGGAGGATCTCTGTGAGTAGAGGCCAACCTGGTCTACAGAGTGAGTTTCAGAATAGCCAGGACTATACAGAGAAACCCTGTCTCATAAAACTAAACAAAAAAATGACACACTGATTTCTTATAATTACATGAAGTTGATTCTTTTCTAAAAGGAACAATTTATTATTTATTTATGTGAGTGTGTATTCATTCAATTTAAGACAGTCTTGGATTACATAGGCTGGCTTGTAGCATATGATCCTTTTGCCTGTTCCTCCCATGTGGTGTGATTAAAGTTATACATCACCATGTCTAATTTAAACTGCTTATAAAATAATTTCTATTATGAAATAAGAAAACATAGAACTTGTATCTGCTATAAACTACTCAAAGAAAAACAGTCATAGTAAGATGATCTTATTGTAAAAATACTTCTTGAAAATGTACTAACCTTTCTACAGAGGACCATTCTGACATTTACGTGTGTTCTGTGAGAGATATATACTACAGATAACAGATCTTTGAAATTGATAACAGGATCTATGATTAAAGAAAAGTTAAAATTAAATTTCATGGATATCCAAAGAAAGAAAAGTATTACTTGTATGAATGCTGAAGTAATTATTTACTTTCCAAGGTGAACTATAGCTATGTTCCAATATCCCCCCAAATCTTCAGGTTGATAATATTCAAATAAAGCTTAAATAACTTCTCTTTCTTTGACTGTCTGAGTATATGGTCTATACCTCAGGGATACAGTACTATTATCTTTTATATAAATATTTTGGGTTACCAATGAGACTTGATAAACTACTTAGCAAACCACTAAAGATAAAGAGCCGCATTTCCAGACCCAAGTCAAACATCTGTCATAAATTCTACTTTGTGGCTAAGTACAGAAAAAAATATTACAAAACATTAGAAAGAAAATATGTATCAAATTTGTTTTCATTTTACCTTTCAGAAAATACCTTTAAACTTATAAGCTCCTTTTATACATATTTTCTTTAATGCTCTTTTTTTTTTATTTAGGAAACCAATCATTAACTTGGCTACTTAGTAAACATTTACTTTAAAGCTATGTCCTGGAAGTCAAAAGCAAGTACAGGTATATATTTTCTAAGAAACACTCTGCAAAACCAAATAACAAGTAATTTAAAAACCAACCTGAAAGAGGAGATTTTTAAGAAAACTTTCACAGAGAAAAAAAAATTTCTTAAACACATCACTGTTACCAATCTTAGTCATACCTGCATTAATGATTTGATTGACAAGGTTTTTAATGAGAGACACATTAACTGGAACTTCATTAAGGAGGAGTCCAATTCCTGAATAGCCAACTTCTCTGAGACGGATGCGTTGCTTACTACGTTCATAAACACTGGTGCATCTTAACATCTGCTCTATAACCTGGTCACAAAAAGTAATACAGTCTTTTCAATACAGAGAAACATTGGATTTTGGATCGTTAATAAATTTTACTGAAACTGTATCTATATTTGTATAAATAATGTTTAAAATTCTAGTTTAAATACGGCTGATGAAAGAGTAATATATATAGTTAGCAGACACAAAGAACACATTTATGTGTCAAGATATTACTATTATCATTATTATTCATTTTTTGTTTTGTATTTAGATAAGGTCTCTCGATATAGCACCAGCTGACCTGGAACTCACTACGTAGAGTGTCCTGTCTTCCACTGCTGGGACTGAAGGTATGTGCCATCACACCTAGCCTAAAACGGTCTTAACTCATTTACATAACAGACCCATTTTCAAGAACAGAAAACCTTAGTGAAGCAACCCAAATAATCTATATCTAAAAATGGGAGTAGAAGCTGAACTTTCCAGGGGTAAAAGTAATGTTATTTAAGAGGTTATTTTCTTATAAATTATAAAAGGATAATTGTGTCAGAATATCATATACAATCACTAAGAAATATTTTTAGAAGAAATAATATTTTCTCTCTATGAATAAACCCTAGTGAGAGCAGATGCTTCCAAGAGCAGCCTCACTGGTAACCAACCATAAGCAACCCTAACAAACAAACTACTTTAGACCTTTTCTTCATCATTGTATTCTAATGTTTAGTGATTTGAAACACAAGCAATCAAAACATAAACCCTTAAAAGTATATTTAATTAACATAACTCTAATAACAATGTAAAAACAAAAATCATCAGACAACTAAGGACAAGGAGAATTTAACTAAGAAAAAAAGCTGGTAGATATATGCCTGGATCTTATATTTTTACTTAACAAAAAGTTAAAAACGGTGGCTTCAGACAAGGGTTCAGAGTCTTTACAGTTTGGATAGCAAATAAAATATACTCCATGTGTTTTAACAAAGCCATTAGTCTATCAGCTTCAATTTATCACCTGTAATACAGGAGTAAGAAAAGTATCCGTCTTCTAAAACAGTGGTAGGGACTAAGAAAACTACTCCCCGAAGAGTACAAACTGTCTGACATAAAGTGAGCATCACAGAAGTGCTGCTATTATTAACTGCTAAATGACCTGATGTACTACACCCATGTACTTTATGTCAAGGAAGAACTCAGAGGTTTTATATTAAGAAAAATATGACAAAGTGGATATTCCACTGAGATGATTTGCCTGGCTATATTAATTTTTTGCTTGCTATTTTGATGTTTTTGTTTGTTTAGGTCACCCCCCCCCCTTTTTTAGATGTACTAGTAAGATTTGGGGGAGGGACATACACTCAGCACATACTAAGCCAGTACTCTACTACTTAACTAGAGTTAAGTTTTTAAACTATAATATAGTTTTTAAAATACACAAACAACATGAAAAATATGTAACAAATCGAACTTAAGAAGTATGCAAAAGTAATTTAGTTATGAACTCATATAATCACAAATGTACCCAAGATATAAAGATGCTTACAAAATTTGTGTACCTTAAAAATGATTTCTCTTAGTTTGTCAGAGTACTTCTGATTTAGCAGCAAAGCATACAGTATATCAGCATTTCCTGGTTCAAACATCAGTGAGAAAAGCTGACCTCTAGTTGGGCTGGTTCGTAGAAGACTGAAGAGTATATCCAAAATTCCAACAAGCTTTTCAAGTTAAACAACACAAAACAAACAAACAAACAAACAAAATTCACTAATATATACAGGCAGCAAAATAGGTATATAACTAAATTGGCTATACTCTGCTTTTTCTCTCTGATCTCTTTTGCTTCTTCCATTCCCTTTTGCATAGTTTTTCATTATACATATTCAATATCTCTGAAACCATTCCCAGCCTGTTTGCCCATAAGAAAAGAAATTTCTTCCATAGAAGAATCGAACCTTGTCTCTTCAACATTTAAAATCCTCTGATAAAATTTCATATGTCTTATCTCTTACAATCATATTCTTGTTTCATAGTTATCTGTTAACTTCTCTTAATTATGTGGATTCTATTATGTTAAATGAATAATTTCATAACTGTATTATCTGCACTGCTTAATACTATTTTATAGGTATAGTTAAGTTCTAAAATTGATGGCAGAAAATATAATATATACCAAGAAAATAAAATATAAACCAAGAAAATTTTGAAAACAAAACTGGAGAATAACCAGATACAACAACTATGTAATGATTTGATATGAAGTGTAGCTGGAGGCACCACTGAGGTGATCATATTGTAAGGACACTAATAGGTGATTATAACAGGTTATAGAAAGAGTATATCAATGGATGAAATAATAAAAGAAATTGTACTTTTGAAAGCTATCTCTTATCCCTGGCCCTTCCCATCCAGCTCCCTTCTGCCTCTTGACTGCCAAAAAAGAGATCTGTTCTACTATGCTCTCCTAGCAAATGTTGTCTCATCATGGCTCAGAAGCAAAAAGGGGAAATAAAATACAATGGAAAATTCTTAAATCTTAAGTTCAATGAAACCTTAACTCTTTACAATAGCTCTTCTCTGGTATTTTGTCACAGCAACTATTTTCCAATCTGGTAGTATTGAACACCAACAGAATTTTATTCATTAGACAATTATTTCAGTTAAAACTAAAATTCATCTCAAGCATGATACCTGTTCTTCCTCATTAGTAGCAGCTATGTAACCTATGATACTTTGTATTTCTTCATGAGTTCCACCTTTACAAAGAAAATATTTAATTAGCCCATACAAAGAAGTCCTAATTGTTCGAATATCTTCTGGAGAAAGCTCATTACATGTATAACCATGCCTGAAAGAGAAAACAAAAGTGTGAAAGTCGAAATATTAAATACTTTGATGACGTTATATAAAGGAATTCATAATGTTAAAATTTAAGGCTTATAAGGAATGGATAAAGGCATCTGTTCCAAGTCTGACCACCTACTCTGATCCTGGGACCCATATGATGGAAGGTGATATCTAAGTCTCATAGCTGTCCTAGCTCCACACATGTGCGGTAGCATGTGCTCCTCCAACCCCTCACATACACACAAACACTGAAATAGATGTAATCTAAATCTTAAAAACAAAAGTCTTTCTAAATACTTGCCATAAAGTCTACAAAGTGCTTGCTGCAAAAGCATGAGGCCCTGATGATGGAGGTGGGTCTTGTAATAATAAAGAAACTGCCTCGGCCCTCATAGGACAGAAAATTAGGTAGGCGGAGTAGACAGAAGAGAATTCTGGGAGAAAGAAGCTTAGTGAGAGGAGTCGCCATGATGCTCCCACTCCAGACAGACGCAGGTTAAGATCCTCTCTGGTAAGCCAGCTCATGGGCTACACAGAATATTAGAAATGGGTTAGAACAATATGTAAGAGCTAGCCAATAAGAAACTGGACCTAGCCAGGCCAGGCAGTGTTTGAAAGAATACAGTTTCCGTGTAATTATTTCTGGGTATAAACTAGCCATGCGGGCGGCCGGGTGCCGGGGACGCAGCCCTGCCGCTCCTATTTCAACAGATGGCGCCCAGACGTGATGGGCTAAATCCACTTAAAAACCTGAGAGGGCTTAAAAAGGAGAGAGAGAGAATTTAAGACAGCTTTTTGCTGTTTCTGGGTTGCGTGCCGCAAAGAAATTGTCCTGACTCGGCAGCAGGAAAAAACTGGCTGTTTTAAAATGCCGGCTTTCTGGGCTGTGCCGCCATTGTGATCTCTGTCTGGCTCCGGCGGGAGACAGAGCTTATGAATGGAGCATTTGGATTAAAGTGCTACGATTTGTTTGATGGCAACTAGACTGCTGTGTGCCTAAAAGGGGGACATTGTGTGCCGCAGCTCAGAGGCACAAGCAGCTCCGCCATGCTAATGGTGCAATGTGCAAGGATCAGAGGCACGAGCGGCTCCGCCATGTTGGACTGGGCGGGGCCAGCATACAGTACCTGTTTTTGACCTAGGAATGTCACAGCTTAGATTCTTAAGCGCTTAGTGATTTAAAGGCGCAAAACAAAGTGCTCCTGGATAGTAAAAAAATTACAGATTCACAATAAAACAGATTCAGACACTGTTGGATGAATGTACGTAGGCTTGGGAGAGAGAAGAAAAAAAATATAAAAAAGTTAATGTCTTAAAAAGAAAAAGGGTAAAGTCTTTAAAGAGACAGAGTACAGAAGTACAGATAGTTATAGATTAAGAGAAATAAAGAAAAATAAGCCACGTAAAAATGGAAAATTCACAGAGAGTCTGGATTATGTACATTGTGTTTTCTTTAAAATTTTTGACTGTGAAGGAGCTAAGTACAGAGAGACATTTCATTATATGGGCTGCCAAGCTAAACCAAAATGGATTTCATGAGGGTATTATGATTTCAGAATTTGGGTCTAAGGATATGATGCTTTGGAGAGGGTCTTCTTTTGTTTTTGCAGAGGATGAGACCCTGTGGATTGCATCTATTCCGATTTGGTATGATAGACCACGCCCTCCTGAAAGGTTGCTGTGAACACCCTCAAAAAATTGCTTCGCTCAATTGCCAACTGAGATGAAACTAGCACACAGGTTATATCATGAACGACCTAATTAACGACGCCCCTATTCAGCAGGAAGCAGTTTGGAGAGAAAAAACTACGCCCATGTTCCCAAATATTGTTTATAAATGTTCTTTTACATTTAAAGGGGGATATGATATAGATATGAATAATTTGCATTGGTATGGATTTTAAGGTCAATTTTGTTATATGTATATGTATTTTTGATCTTGATTAAGGTATTGTGATTGTGTAGTTCATTTAAAAATGTAATGTATAATTAGGAAATATAGGTTGTTAATGGATAATCATCGCTAATAGTTAAGCTTGTAGTCATGTTAATTAGATTTTCTAGATATATAGAGATATATTTCAGTTAGATAGGCATTCTTCATATCTTTCAAAGACTGCAGAATATGGCATTTAAAATATTTTAATAACTTAGGACTTTTCATGACAAGGAGACACGTCTGCTCCTGGCAGCACCAGCTACTTCAAGAGGAAGATGGGCATCGAAGAGGATCCTTATGGAGTTGGATAGTCATTTGGGCAAGAAACTGCTCTTGCCTGGACTGTTGCATAAACTGGACACAGAGAACCCTCAGAGAGAGGACTGCTGAACTTGCCTAAAGGTGAGATGGTCTTTCGGGGTTCCTGATTCATGAAAGAGTCTGCGAGACATTCTGCAGGACACAGCAGAAAATGACTGAACTGTCTTTGAAATTTCCTGCTTCATGGAAATGTCTCTGGATACCATGGGCCTGTAGGCCGAAGATGGATGCCCCAACGGTACAGAGGAACTTTGGGTGACTGTCCAGGCAGCGAGATGTCTCTGTCATTTCTAGAGTTTTCTTATTTCTTGTTTACTTAGATAATATTATATCCTTCTGGAGTCTTTGATGGAGTTGAAGAATAAATAGTTATAGTTTTCCTTAGTTATGATAAGAGATAAAATAGATATAAATATTGTAACTGTAATTCTTACTTGATAACTGTTTTGTTATATGTAATTTTACTATGCTAAAGTTAAAGCCTTTCTTTTTTGTTTAAACGGAAAAAGGGGAAATGATGTGGGAATGATTTCTTACTAATAAAGAAACTGCCTTGGCCCATTTTATTGGATAGAAAATTAGGTAGGCGGAGTATACAGAAGAGAATTCTGGGAGAAAGAAGGTTAGAGGAGGAGTCGCCATGATGCTCCCACTCCAGACAGATGCAGGTTAAGATCCTCTCTGGTAAGCCAGCTCATGGGCTACACAGAATATTAGAAATGGGTTAGAACAATATGTAAGAGCTAGCCAATAAGAAACTGGACCTAGCCAGGCCAGACAGTGTTTAAAAGAATACAGTTTCCGTGTAATTATTTCTGGGTATAAACTAGCCATGCTGGCGGCCGGGTGCCGGGGACGCAGCCCTGCCGCTCCTATTTCAACACCCTGAGTACATTCTCCAAAATTCATGTGAAAAAGCTGGACATAGTAGCACACACTTGCAAACTTAGAACTAGAAAGATAGAAGAAACAGGTGGTCTGGAGCTTGGTGCTAGGCAGTGTAGCCAAATAGAGAACCACAGGCCACGAGAAGTCCATATCTCAAAACACCAAGGTGAACGGCATCTGAGGAGAAATGACACCTAAGGGGTTCTGGCTTCTACACACACACACACACACACACACACACACACACGTGCACAAGCACCCATATGAGAAGAATATACCCAAAAATGGCCTGGGAAATTGACTCACCCAGTTAAAAACACATTGATTGGACCTATGAAAGTCTAAAGCCCTGAGTTTAGAGTTTCAGAACCCGTGTAAACAGCTTTATATAGCATCCAGTGTTGGGGAGAGGTAGATAGGATTCTTAGGGTTTGTTGGATATTCACTCTAGCCAAATAGATGAGCTCCAGGTTTAAATAAGAGACTGTCTCAAAAACCAAGGACAGCAATTAAGGGAGATACCAGAGGGGTTAAGGATTTAGCTCAGTAGTAGAGAATTTGCCTAGCAAGTCCAAGACCCTGGGTTTGGGTCTCACCTCCAAGTAAAAGGACACCAGAAGTTGGGTGTCCACACCTATAACCCCAGCACTCATCAGAGTCAGGAGGATCTCTGTGAGGTCAAAGACAGCCTGGTCTACATATTGAGTTGTAGAATAGAGAGGGCTACACAAAGAAAACCAGTCTCAAAAAAAAAAAAAAAAAAGAAGAAGAAGAAGAAGAAAGAAAGAAAGAAAGAAAGAAAGAAAGAAAGAAAGAAAGGAAAAAAAGAAAAAGAAATCAAAAAAGGGATGTGAACAATATCAGAATTTGACTTCTAGTATCCACAGCATTTACACATATACTCCTTTTACCCCATGACCAAATACAACACACACACACACTTTTAATATATTAGAATTCATAGTACCCTTTCTTTCGTTCTTTTTCCTTTCTTTCTTTCTTCTTCTTTGAAAGAGTCTAGCCTTTCCTAGGCATGCCTACAACTTGCTGTGGAGCTGAGAACAACCCTGCACTTCTGACCCTATTGCCTCTAACAGCCAAATGCTGGAGTTACAGGTCTGCAGTGCCACACTGCTCATGAATCACATTTATTAGGAAAGTACAATACCAAACAAGAAGCCATAAGGGGCACTTCAGTGACAAAAATAAAACTATTACAATATTTGCCATATAGCTATAAAATTTTAATACTAAGAATCAGACACAGTTGTAAGTGCTTTAAATATTAACTGATTTAATTCTCAAAACTATCATAGATTATAGTCATAGTTTTAATCTGCTTTTTATAGATGAAAAAGCTTAAATACAGAGAATCTTAATGATTTAAATAGCATTACACAATTAACAAAGCAAACAAACAAATCTAATAAATGGTAATCTATTGCTTATCATTTTAACCTTACACTATCCTTTTGCTCTAAAGTTTTAGAATAACAGAATCGCTGGTCAAGGGAATAAGCTACACACTCCAGTCAAGTGTCAAACAGAAAGGAACAAATTAAACCGAAAAGAAACAAAATGTCATACCCATAATAAATCCTAAGTGTATCTAGGAGAAACTGCACACCGTACTTCTTCCGGAAAATTCTCCTGCTGTCTTTAATGATAGTTGAAATATACTGTATATGGCCTAAAAGAAAATGTTCACTTATAAATAACATAACTGGAATAAAGTCACACAGGAGGTTATATATTCTGAAAACAACTACATAATATTTTATCTGACAGTTTGGTCTTACCAATCCGAAAAGGGAAATCTCCACGGTTCCAAATGCAGAAGTCAAAGAGTAAATACTGATACATTTGTTGAAGCAATAATGTGTTTTTTTCTAATGATACCTGTTCAATTAGTAATTGAATTGCCACCAATACATTAACATCCATTAGGGTACCTGGCACCTATAATTTAGCAGAAAAGGGTTTAATAAAGGTCAGTTTAAACAACAGTATAAAACTATTACTTCAAATAATTCAGAATGTCCCTAAAATATAGAATAAAAATGGTACAAAATATAAGTAACTTAACTCGTTAAACTTTATAATTCAACACTGGATCATATTTTCTGATGCCATGTTTCTAAAGTCTTTCTTCTTAATTCTCAAAGCACCTTATTACAGCATGAATTCAAACTGGTATTAATAATTAAAAAGCTGAGTCAGATAGAGGGGTTAATGCTGAAGATCTGAAATGCAAAGAGCCAGCCCCTAGAGATCTTTTACCTTTGCCAGTGCTCAGACTGAAGAATGCACTGTTCCACGAACTTCATCCTCAGACTACAACTGTCTCCATCAAACCTAGGACTGCACTGCTTCTGTTTTCTCTTTTAGGCAGATTCAATCTTGTATAGCCCAGGGAGGCCTTGAACTAAAAGAGATCCCTCTGCCTCTGTGTCCCGAGTCCTGGGGTTAAAGGTGTGTGGCACCATTCTATGGCCTCTAGTGACTTAAACAAAATATCACTACACCTTATCACTATATATCTTTACAGACACTCTAAGAAATTATCTTCATTCCCATTCTACAGACAAGGAATAGACAGATTGTTTAATGTCTTATTTAATTTGAATTTCCTTAATGCTACTGAGAAAGGAACAACAGATATGGAAATCATTCAACAATAGAAAAAAAAAACTATGCACTTTAAAGATGTGTTGACCTCAGGATGGAAACCAGGACATGTGTTAACACTGGGGAAGAGGTTTCACTTTTGTTTCCACACGAAAAACTTATTAATAAGGAGAAGTGATATTTCATCAACAGATGTGACATGTCAAAAGGAAAACCCAACAAATAAGGGTTCGGGTAGGTTTCTGTTTCTTTCTGTCTTTACAGGAAAACAGAGAAACCCGCTTGGAAAACAAACAAACAAAACTATAGAAAGTTTAGAAGTAATTCCAAAGAAATGAATCCCCTCTCCCAACAGATGGGATGAATGGCTTTTTGTTTTCCTCAGGGTTGGTTATAAGTTATTATAGAATTGGGGACAGAATAATAATAATTAGAATCAGGAATCTTGTTTGATATAGAAAAAAGGGAAAAAGATAAGATAAAATAACAAGGTAGACTAGTATATTTACTTGTAAACTATTTTAGCAACTATTAGTTTTAGACAATTTACATTGGTATAGATTCCTGTATATTGATACATGTGTAAAATTATTTTTGTATTTCTAAGGTAATTTGTATATTGACACAAATTCAAAATTTTATTTTTCCTATTGTGTATGTTCCTACTTGTTTACAATATCCTTGTACAGAAATTTAAAATTATTTTTGCCATACTGTATGTAGGTTTTTACTTCTGCTTAAGATATTTTGTATATTGATACAAATTAAGAACATTTTGTCATACTACACTATACATTTCTACCTCTGACTAGGATATTTTTATATATTGTTAAAATTTGAGATTATCCTTATGCTATACATGTTTGAAGATTGTTTATTTCCTATAATGTTAAGCTTTAGTCTTTAAGCTATATAAGTTCTTAAGAATTACAGAATGACCCATATTTGTCATACTTATAGTTATTTTAGGTTTTTTAGATGCACAGAGATGTACTTTACATAGACAAGTAATCTTCAAGCACTTTGAAGATCTACAGAATATGACATTTAAATGTTTTAGTAATTTAAAATCCTGTTGACATGAGACATGACTGCTCCTGGCATCACTAACCAACTTCTGAGAGAAAGATGGGCACCAAAGACACTCCATGTGGAGCGTGTTTTCTTCTTGGCAAAACTGGACTACTGTGCAATGAATTGCACTTGCCTCAACTGCTAATAGTAAGCGAGTTGTCCAATCTGGATAAGCAGGATACAAGGGTAAGCAACTTCTGAACCTTGTTATGACAGAGTAGGACAGTCTTTCAAATATTCCTGCTTCTGAAAATGATCTGTCAGATATTCTAGGCCTATAGCCAAAATTGGATGACCCAATATTGCAGAGAGACTTTGGATGACTGTCTAGCTGTATAGCCAGCTATTTCTATCATTTCTTGTAACTTTTAGAAGTCATTTGCTTGCACTTCCTGATTACTCAAGTAAAAATATTTTCCTTCTAAGTGCTTTTATGGTGTTAAAGACTAAATAGTCACAGCTACTAACCTCTCATACCTTAACTAAGACATATTAGTTATAAAACTTAGACTCTTCAGGATAGGACAAGTATTGGAATTGTCTCTTTATTTGACAATTACCTATAGCCTCGACATCTAAGTATGTGTTCCTTTCTTGATGTACTTGTTGGCTGTAGTTCCATTTTTGTGTATGTTACTACCCTTTTGTGCTCCTAGACAACACTTGATATTTGTTCTTGTTGTAAATGCTTTTATGGTAGGATTAGAATCTTACTATTTAGACAAAACGGGGAACTGTTGTAGGAATTCATTTTACCAACAACTTTAAAGTGTGGCTTCCTGTCTGTGAACATGACCTCTTAAAAGGAGAAAGAGAAGTAGTGTGTGCTTTCTTGCGTTATGAAGACCAGAGTTAGGTGGCATGAAGCAGTCTGTATTCCCAGCTCCCTTGATCCCCAATTCTGAGTCTGTTGTTCCCAGCACTGCTTTAATATATGTGTGTGTGTCTGTGTGTATCTATATCTTTGTGGTTCACACTACAAAAATCAAAACCCAAAATTCCAGGAAGAACTGTACAGTAACTCCAGTTCCAAGGGATCTGACACTCTCACACAGACATACATGCAAGCAAAACACCAATACACACAAAAATAAAATGAATAAGAAAGAAAATTCTCTCCAGAAAACTTTAAAGAAGAATTATTCCTCCCATAGACAGACCAATAAAATCCAATCACTGCACATGGAGTGAGAACATTATCTTTTCTCACACTCGCAGTTCCTCTCTCCAGGGCCCACTGAAAAGTATAGTGGTAACTTTAGTGGCTCTCAACCTTAACCAGTATCATCGTTTTTCCACCATGCCTTCCCCTTCACAACACTGTGAGGTGGACATGATTGTGTTCATTTTTCCCAATGCCTCTGTTCTGATGAGTAAATTGCTGAGTAAATTAAACCCAAGAAAATGACTTTTACTGGGGCCTTATAACCCAACTTTGTAAACAAATATCTCAATGATATAAAATGATCTCGTAGAGGGTTTCAATAGAACTATAAACTAGTAGTTCCCCAGAAAGCAGGCTACAAACTTTGCATACTGGCACCCTAGTTTGACCATAACAAAAATGGTATGAAATAGGCATCCTTTCGATATCAGTGTTTCCATGTGACTCTGTTTGCTCATCTGGCCAGTAGTCTTGTCTGATCTTTATAAACAGGCCTCCTAGGTCAGACTATACACCATGTGAAAGGTGATCTTAAGTTGACTGAACAAAAGACTTTCTTCTTGGCCACATGAAATAACTTCAATAATTTCTTAATACCTCTGACACAAAATGGCAGTCTTTCAGTGGTAGGAGCATCAGACCGGATATATAAGATTCATCATTCATATATAAGAACCTTCCTTCTTTTTTCTTTCTTTTTAATTTTTTTGAGAAATGGTTTTTCTGTATAGCCTGGGATGTCCTGGAACTCACTTTGTAGACCAGGCTGGCCTCTGTCCTGCCAAGTGCTGCTATTAAAGTTGTGCACCACCACATACTGCCTAGTGGTTATTTGAAACAGCCACATAAAGCTTAACTGATTTTTCACGTTCTTTTTTGAATAGCAGGATCTTACTATGGAGTTCTGGCTGTCCTAGTACCCTCTATCTACATAGACTAGGATGGCCTCAATCTTACAGAAACCAGTCTGCCTATACCTTCCAAATGTCAGGATTAACCATTGTCACCAGCTTTCTCTACAGGAGTCTTCTCTCCAGCACTGTCACTATGAGAAAACCTACCATGGTAAAGTGGCATGCTGATTTCCTGTGTCTCTTGGAATGCTTCCCCTGCCTTCCCACAACTTCTTATGATGGGGCCATTTCAGCACCTACTAAAGTTTAAAAAAACGCAGGAGAGAAGCTAAATTGTGGTATATGCAATGAGCTTCCAATTAAAGTGGCCTTGTAATTTGCTTTAATTATTACTTATAAATTAAGACTTATCTGAAAACCATGTTAAACTAGAAATGCTCAGTCTTAATGTAGTGAGGAGGGGCTTGGTCCTGCCCCAACTTAATGTATCAGACTTTGTTGACTCCTGTGGGAATCCTTATCCATTGGGAAGACTGGATGGGGGAGTTACTTGGGGGGAGGCGAGAAGGGGTGGGAGGGAGAACTGTAGTTGAAACGTAAAATGAAATTAAAAAAAGAACATATATTCTTATATAAGCAATTTGTATTATTCTATTAAAATTTATAAAAGTTGCCTGTGAAACAAGTCACATGCATTAATACAACTTGAGTTGTAATACAGTAATCATTAGTAACATTTATTAATAGGAATAAAATCACAACAGCCATTTATGAGATCACTATTCAATAAATCAACGTCATGTTAAATTTGATTACCTTTTGAAGTAAGGCACCAAGAGTTGCAACCCCATGGGACTGAATGAGATTGTCCTGGTTGATAGGATGCCTCTGAATAAAGTGCTTCACAATCAAGATAAATGTTGCAACTAGATTTCTCTCTAGTCTTGACTCTGTAAAAACAGGAAACCATCATTATCACAATCATTCTCATCAATTTGACATCACATATTTTATGTCATAATACACATTGCAACAAAGAAGCAATTCAATTCAGAAGCTTGCTTCTAAGACTCATTTATACAATAAAATCAGAAAAAGCAGCAACTACGTACAATATAATTGTATCCATATGTAAATACTTTCTTTACCATGATTTAACAATATAGTAGGGTTTTTTTTTCACTAAGAGCATAAACTAAAGATAGTCAAAAGTAAAATTATTATCTTTGATGTTTTAACGAAAGTATTATAAATTTACTGAACGATGGCAGTTCAGAAGAGAAGCTATGACAGCTATAAATAATTAAGTGGTATGGCATTTTATTTTCCAACTAATTCTCAACTTTATAAATGATTAATTTAGGCTAATATAATTTAATTACCTGATGCCTTTGTGGAGGACAATGCCATACATTCCTGTTCAATCGGTGTTATTAATTCAGGAACTGTGTTTTCATTCATTCCTTCAGAAGTCTGTCCTTCAATAAAGTGGCTTATTTGTTCCAGGATAGGAAAAAGTACATTTAGCCCACCTATGCAATTGATGATGTCCTGAAAACAAAATTAAAATTTTTTAATACTACAATAAAAACAATGATTTGATTTAGTATCTACAGAATATATGAAGATATAGTTTGTTAATAAACTTTAAGTAATATATGGAATAGACTAAGGTGAAAGAATATTTAAGCAGACAGTCTCAAAGATAACCAAAATGTACATTCAAAAGAGACCATTTTAGGCCATTTTTCTGTGCTTGTTTTATAGATTTTAGGAAGTTCAAACACAGCAACATATAATGCAACTCCAACAATGCTAAGAACAAGCAATTGTCACCACACGGTTATGCATTAAAAATACAAGAGAGAGACTAGAAATATGACTGATTCTTCAAATTTTAATTAACAAAAGACAGAAGAGGTAAAGTAAGCTAAAATATGAAAAGTGCTGTATGCCTGACAGAGGATGTTATATGAAGTTACTATTATTAATCATTAAAACATTCAAACCTACACTGATATGTTACTGTAAGGCTAGGGCAGGAACATTCCATGTTCAAGGACATCCTGGAAGGGAATGAGAGAGAAAGAGAGTAGAGAAGGAGAGAAGGGGAGGGAAAAGAAGCAGAAAGAGAAGGGAGGAGAGGAGATTAACAAATCTCCCACTTCATACGGTTATTTGTTACAACTGCAGCTAAAAAAACTTATTCAGCAAAACCTCCCAATACCAAATTCTTTATGTTATACCTGAGTTATCAAGAGCTATTCATAAACTACATCCCTGCCACTTTATTTTGCATATTTTAAATGATCTAAAATTTATTTTAACCATTAAATAAAAAGATAAAAAGTATGTGTTGAGGGAAAAACATACTGATTTTAAAGAACTCTTAGTGTAGTAGTAACTGAACTTTTTGGATGGCAAATACTTTCCTTCTTGGTTATTATTTTTTGTCATTGCTGTGTTTTACATTTTAAATTTTTTAAATTTTTTTTCCATTCAAAAATTTACACTTCCTCCCCTCCTCCCATTCCCTTCCCGCTCCTCCACTCCCCCTAAAAAATAAAAATAAAAAAAAAAGAAAAAAAGAAATATCACCAGAAATTGCAAAGCAGAAAATATGAGAGGGAAACTCAGAGAAAGAACTCTGCCATGGCACATAAAGCCTGCTGCGGTGCAAAGTTATCCCCAAGCTGTTTTGACTTCTGGCAAAATACTACCCTCATCTTCAGTGAAGCCACATCAAGGGCTGATTCTGAGATTTGTTGCCAGGCATTTGGGAGAATTTTGATAGTCTTGTCATCTCAGATCCAAAGGAAGTACAAGCAGAAATATAATGAATTGTTTCTACAAAAAAGACAATTTTAGATTTTATGTGATATACTTGGTTGAATAAAAATATATTTATGAAAAAAAAAAAGAGAGAGAGAGAGGGCAGGGAATCCTGCCCTGTGGGAAGTCCAAGGCCCTCCCCCTACATCCATGCCTAGGAAGCTTTGCATCCAAATAGACTAGGGTCCTCAAAAGCCAGTACATGCAGTAGAAACAAATCCCAGTGCCTTTATCAATGTCTTCTCAGTCAGCCCCTATTGTCAGTCACATTCAGAGAGTCTGGTTTGATCGCATGCTCCTTCAGTCCTGTTTCTTCTTGGTTGTGTGTGTGTGTGTGTGTGTGTGTGTGTGTGTGTGTGTGTGTGTGAGAGAGAGAGAGAGAGAGAGAGAGAGAGAGAGAGAGAGGGGAGGGGGAGATTAGATTTTACTTAAGCACAAACATTATAACTGGTTTTCTCTTAATAATTCTGTTCCTGCTGGAGAGATGGCTCAGGTTAAGAGCACTAGCTGTTCTTCCAAAGGTCCTGAGTTCAGTTCCCAGCAACTACATGGTAGCTAACAACCATCTGTAATAAGATCTGGTGCCCTCTTCTTGCCTGCAGGCATACATGCAGGAAGAACACTGTATAGATAATAAATAAATAAACCTTAAAAAAAATACAGTAATAACCATGGGACTCCAGAACAATCTGCAATAATTCTGTTCCTGTTTAGCTTCCTACATTAGACAAAATGTTTGATTAGTTGATTTGTATAGCTACAATACAAAGTATTAAAGACTGATTTTCAGATGAGCACAGCATACCTGAGAAAATTAAGTTTCTACACATAGCACACAAAACTAGTCTTTTAAAGCCAACATTACACGGAAAGTAAGAGTTAAACTATGCATTTTTAAGCTGGCTAAGTTGATGGCATAGTTTACAAATTTAAGTAAGTTTCAATAGTAATTCAACTACTGTAACTATTCATCCTTCAGAATATAAATCTGAATAACATTTAATTAATTAGTTACAATTTTTGTTTTATTTTGGAGGCAGAGTCTCAATAAATAGCCTTGGTCACTCTAAAATGCCCATATAGAGCAGGCTGAGAACAAACTCACAGAGAAGTGTCTCGCTCTGCCTCCTGAGTGCTGGAATTAAAGGCATGCACCACCATGTCCAGTGTTGATGTGGGAGTGTCATATATCAATCTGTTGATTTCATTGGTTAAGCAATAAACTGCTTGGCCCTGATTGGTTAGAACATAGGTGGGTGTAAACAGAACAAAATGCTGGGAGGAAGAGGAAGTGAGCTCAGACTTCACGCAGCTCCTCTCAGAGCAAGACACACGCGATGAAGCTCCGACCCAGGATGGACGTAGGCTAGAATCTTCCCGGTAAGCACACCTAGCAGTGCTACACAGATGATTAGAAATGGGCTAAATTAATATGTGAGGATTAGCCTAGAAGAGGCTAGATAGAAATGGGCCAAGCAGTGTTTAAATGAATACAGTTTGTGTGTTGTTATTTCGGGCATAAGCTAGTAGGCGGCCGGGGTGCTGGGGACGCAGTCCCGCCGCTCCTTATTACAACAGTGTTACATAAAAATTTAAAAGATAAAACCTGGGACATCTCACTGAGCAGGTTGGATGGCTCAGTGGATAAAAGTTCTTGTTCTGCAAGCATGAGAACCTAAGGTCTGAATTCAAATCCCGAACACCCATGTAAAACTCAGAGCATGACTGCCTGTAAACTGTAGCACCAGCAGAACAGAGACATGGTGATCCTGAGTGCGCATTGACTAAGGCAAGACTAAAAGGCAAGATTTCAGTCCAATCCATGCAACTAGTGAAGAATAGATTTCTAACAGCATATACAGACATGCATGCACCTCCCCTGGCCCTTCCTCATCACTCAGGGCCCAGGAAGGTGGTTCCGTAGTGAAGCAGATGCTCAAAATACAAAATGGCCTAGATCCAGTTTGTAATATTGAAAAAAAAAAAAGGTTCAAGTTATGTGCTATGCTTAAGTAAAATTAAAATTAAATTAAATTGGTGTAGGAAGTTCTTCTGTCTATGTGTTGCTTTCATTGGTTGAATAAAGAAACTGCCTTGGCCTTTTGATAGGGCAGAACTTAGATAGGCGGTGTAGACAGAAGAGAATGCTGGGAAGTGGGGCATAGTGGCAGAAGCCATGAAGCTCCTGCCTGAGACAGACATTGGTTATAATCCTTTCTGGTAAGGTACGACCTCACGGTGCTACACAGATTATTAAAAATGAGTTGAATCAAGATGTGAAAGTTAGCCAATAAGATGCTAGAGCTAATGGGCCAGGCAATGTTGAAATGAATACAGTTTCTATGTGATTATTTTGGGTGTAAGCTAGCAGGTGTGTGTTTGTGTGTGGCCAGGACAAACAAGGCGCCCTGCTCCGTACTACATTAAATTATATTAGGTTGCCTATTATATATTAGTATTAACTTACTTTAATGTCCCAATTCACTACTTTGTTTCCTGTTAATCTTCCATGCAAATAATTAGTAGACAAGTCAAGGCAAATTGAATTTTCGCAAGCCTAAGAACAAAGGAAAAAAAACAGCATTTTAGTGCAATTAGAACAAAACATAACTTTAATTACATAAAGAATGTTTCATCATAATTTTAAAAGTACACAATAAAATCAATAACTTGCCTAGCATTTGCCTTTTACTGCCCCCCCCCCCGTGTGTGTGTGCGCGTGCGCATCTTTGTGGGGCATGCAATCGGGTCTATGTCTGTGGAGGTCAGATGTACTCATCAGATCTTGGATGTCTTTAATCACTCTCTACCTTCTTCTTTGAGACAGTCTCTCTCACTGGATCTAGAGATCACCAATTAGCTACACTACTGGCAAGCAATCTCTTTACTTGTCAAGGACCCTCCACCACTGGGGTTAGGAGCACACATCATAAGGTTCATGTGGGTGTTTGGGGGTCCAAACTTGGTCCTTATGTTTAGACATCAAGTACTTTACTTACTGAGACATCTCAAATCATTAAAGTCTCAAAAAAAAAAAAAAAGTCAGAGACTAAATCTAAGTTCTAAAGCACTTATTTATCAAAAGTATGCCACCGCCTTCAGTTCTTGGTACAAAGACAAGACTGAATTTTAAAGAAAGAGATGACTAAACACCTGCTACAAATAAGGACAAGAAGGAGAAACAGTTGACTAGTGAAGAATTTTCAAAGTACCATTTAACAAATTAGCATTTTTTTGTTTGTTTGTTTGTTTTTTCGAGACAGGGTTTCTCTGTGGCTTTGGAGCCTGTCCTGGAACTAGCGCTGTAGACCAGGCTGGTCTCGAACTCACAGAGATCCGCCTGCCTCTGCCTCCCAAGTGCTGAGATTAAAGGCGTGCGCCACCATTGCATTTATTAATACTTGAGTTATTTTTTTCTGATCTAAATGTTACTTTAATTTCCATTAATTAAATATTTATTTATTCATTCATTTATTTATTTATTTATTTATTATGTATACAATATTCTGTATGTATGCCTGAAGGCCAGAAGAGGGCGCCATACCTCTTTACAGATTCACCATGTGGTTGCTGGGAATGGAACTCAGGACCTTTGGAAGAGCAGGCAATGCTCTTAACCACTGAGCCATCTCTCCAGCCCTTGAGTTATTTTTTAAAAGTGTTCAAAAAGCTGGTGAAAGAGTAAACCAACTAGAAACTACTCTTACAGTATATTTTTTAAAGCCTGTCATCAGTCTCCAAAAAGGTTATAAAGAATGCAAGAGCTCCATGAACTCACTCTAAAGACATGCATCATTATGTACACCATTTTAGAGAAACACAACTTCAATAAACTGATTTGTCTATATATTAATTACATTTCTTGGGGAAAAATATGATAATAACTAATTTTTAATAGTATAGATTTTCTGTTACAAGTTAAGACACTGGTGGTGCACATCTTTAGTCCCAGAACTCAGGAGGCAGAAGCAGGCAGATCTCTGAGTTTGGGGTTAGTCTGTTCTACAGAGTGAGTTGCAGGACAGCCAGAACTGCAAAGAGAAATCCTGTCTCAAAAAACAAAAACAAAGCAAACAAACAAAAAAGCAGTCACAAAAAATATAATCTTAGTAACACTAAATTAAAAATTATTTTGTAAAAAGATTACAACTATAAAAATTAAAACCAGGTGCCCGGCTGGGCCATGGTGGCGCACACCTTTAATCCCAGCACAAAGGAGGCAGAGGCAGGTGAATCCCTGTGAGTTTGAGGCCAGCCTGGTCTACAAGAGATAGTTCCATGACAGCTAGGACTATTACACAGGGAAACCCTGTCTTGAAAAACCAAAAAAAAAAAAAAAAAAAAAAAAAAAAAAAAAAAAAAAAAAAAAAAAAAAAAAAAAAAACAAAAAACCCAAAAAAAAAAAAGATGCCCATTACATGTCAAGAATGTCACTCTAACAAAAAAGTAAAACAAAACAAAAGAATATATTAATCAGTATACTATTTAGATTAGATCCAATGATTTCCTAGTCATCTGTGCTACATACTGGAGACTAAATAGGAGAGTAAAGACTAGAAGTTGCCAATTAAGAAGGTTATTATGGTTTGGTAAACAAACATACTGTTGGAGAAAGTACATGGATCCTGACTGAACCAAAACTAATTTTTGGTAAAAAGTATTTTAGGGAAAATTGAAAACCAATTATATACTCAATAATGTAAGTAATTGTAAAACCATTCAGGGATAAAGTTTTATAGCTATAGCAAGATGCTCTTACAAATGACCTGAGAAAGGTCATCAAATACAACAAAATGTTAACAATTGGCTAATTTAGGATTATTATACTATTATCTTTCTAATAACTTCTAAGGTTTGAAATTTATTAAAATACAAAGTTGACAGAACATAGAATCTTATTTTACTAGGACAGATGTAACAAATAAATAGTATGATCACGTACCAGGTTGCTAAACTAGAAAAGGATGTTCTATATTATCTCACAATAAAAGTATTTTCTGTGTCAATGTAACACCAAATATGATGGAGGCAAATAATGCTGTTTGTGACACTTCTCTGCTCTTCCTCCCAATTCTATCTAATGTCTTTTTTCCTTCAGTCTTAGTTCCAATTACTTTTGGTAACTAGGTCTTTGAAGCAAAATTACTAGACATGGCAGGTATACCAAAAGGTTTTTCTATCCTTTAGAAAACATCTCTCCTTCCCTCAACATCACATCTTAAAAAGTGAACCAAGGTTTGAGTAGGACTGTTTCACCTCTTTCTTCAGATAACTAGAGAAATACAAGTTTAAAAGGTTTTTTTCACTAACACCAACTCAGACAAACTCCTGAAACTAGTTCAATTCACACCAGTAGAATGACATAGCACCTGAACTCTAGTTTTGCCTCAACTTTTGTTGCTTACCAACTTCCTTTAAAAAAAAAAAAAAATTCTTTTAAACATCATGATGGAAGCCCCTCCTCAATTGCCAACTGAAATGACAAAAGGAATAAAATGATGAATTCAAGCTCACAGCAGTTACAAATATGGACAATCTATGCATTTACTCTGACCTTTGCTGTGTACTGAAGGAGGATGTTACTTGGTAGGCCGGCCATATCATAGTCCTGACACTTCCAAGGGCTTAAGCAATTTGGACCTGAAAATGAGTTACATACACACACATATACATCACTGAATATACGTGGTATCCTTAGTTCTATGTTACCAGAATAAAATTTAAAATCAAGATGCTTCTAACAATTCAAATAACATAGATCTTAGGATGCATTCCAACAAAAGGGGGTTGGGGGAGAGACAATGTTAAGTACTGTGGCTGTATATGCTTACCTGCTAAATATAAGGCCTTAACCTGTGAAGGCTGGAGTGCTTCATGGAATACAATAACAGAACCTAGCTGCCCTTCCAAGGATGTGGGGCAACCCCATTCACTATCTTGAGTTCCAGCTGAAATTAATTTCGTAATTAATTTTGATTTTTCAATTGTTCCACCCCAGGAGGCTGATGACAATATTCCACCAAATGATGTCCGGTGAGGGGTTATGGGAGTAGAATACGGTGGATCTGGGATTTGAGATGGTGGAGGAGTAGTGGTTCTTTGTCCAGCTGAACCAATACAACAGGAAGTAAATGGCTAAAAATTAAACAAAAAATGACAAAAATTATTTAAAATCATACAACTTGAAATAAATCTCTCTCTTCACATTTAAACAGTGTAAAGCGGGTGACACATACTTAAGTCCTGGCATTGGTGAAGGCCAAGGCAAAGGGATCATGAGCTGATAATAAGACCCTATCTCAAAAACCACAAAACTAAACAATGAACTGAAATATCATGGAGCTGAACATATAGCTCCATGGTAAAATACTTGTCTAGCATGTATGAAGCTTGGGTTTGATACCAATCAACGGAAAGATAAATAACTAAATTTAAAAATTAATTAAAAATAAGAGAAAATCATTTATATAAAAGTAAGCAAATAAACACTTTGAAAATAGAAATGGAAGTCAATTTTTCAACTGAAACACAACATAAATAGGGAAGTATATACCTAAGACATCAACATGAAATTTATTTTTAACTGAGATAAAACAGACATTACTTTTATGAATCAATAAGCTTTCTGATGAGTATTTTTTTTTTTGGTAGCTTTGGAGCATGTCCTGGAACTAGCTCTTGTAGACCAGGCTGGCCTTGAACTCACAGAGATCCACCTGCCTCTGCCCCCTGAGTGTTGGGATTCACTACTGTCTGGCAATGGGTATTATTTTTAAAAGTTAAAAGAGCTTTACTATTATCTAAAATAGATAATTACTTTTCCCCTACAAAATTTATTGGGTATTATGTAACAGTATAATGTTAATTAAAAGCCACCTTCAATAGTCATGATGAGAAATAAGAAACTTACTAGGAAAATCATACTGACAAATATCCTACTTCATCCAAAGACTTTCTTAAATTAGCCAATCTCAAAAAGCTCTCCTAACCTGGGTGGAGAATAAAGCTTGAAGCTACTTCATCACTAGTTCAAATTTAACAAAGATATTTAACAGAGATAGAAAAGTATATCATAGCATTTTAGGAAAATATTTAGAATATTATCAGGATTTTGCAATCCATTAGGGCCATAAAAAAAAAAAGAAGCTACATATACTGACCTCATTCATGGCAGGAAATCTGAGAGGAGCAGAAACCTTTTGTTGTCCATTGTCATAGATATAGACGATGCTCTGACCAAAGGGCCTTTTCCCAGGCATGTGAACAATGGTTATGTTGTGCTAATGAAGTAAAGCATACATTAAAATGACAAAAATTATATCATGTCTTTGCAATGACATATGCTTACAGATTATTACTTTATAATTTGTGTGAACAAAATATTAAGGAAAGCTAAAATGCTTACTCAATGATGTTCTCTAAACAAGTAACAACTTTTTATGTACTATAAAACAATTAAGCCTTTATCATTAGACTCACAAAAATTTTCTAAGGTTCTAAATATTCTTAAAATTATTTTCTTCAAGGAGAACCATTTTATATTTTTGAGGCAAGCAACAAAAATACACTGATTTAACATTAATCCATTAGAAATGAATATTAGCAAAAAAAAAACCCTCCTCCTATAAATGCATCAACTGTTATACTTCTTTTTTGAGACAGGGTTTCTTTGTAGGGTTTTCTTGTAGGCCAGGCTGGCCTTGGAACTCACAGAGAGTCGCCTGCCTCTGCCTCCTGAGTGCTGGGATTAAAGGCGGGCACTGTTATACATCTTAAAGGAAAGATAGAATGAGAGTTTGATGTGGCGTCCTGAAGTCTTACCCAGAGAGAGTCACAGAAACTGTGGTCAGGAAGCATAACTGTTGCATATTCTCTTTTTGTGCACACTGCCACAACCAACATACCTGAGTGAGTAATAAAAGCTTCAAAACCCATTCCACTTCCTGTAAAAAAACTAACAAAAAATATGTTATCAGAACCTCTGAAATAAAGTAGACAAGTCTCTTCATCACTGAAGTTCACCATTGTGAACATATAATGTGATTACAAATATCTTTATCAACAATGCTGCAACCTTAATTCTATTGCTATACAATAGACTTGATTTCAGTCATTTTTAAATCCATTTTTGGCATAAAAGCTAAACAATTATAAAAGGTAACACTGAAAGTGGGATTTCATTATCAAGCTAGAGCAGTGGTTTTCAACCTTCCTGATGCCGTGATCCTTTGATATACAGTTCATGTTGTAGTGACCCCAGCTATAAAATTATTTCAATGCTACTTCATAACTGTAATTTTGCTACTGTTACAAAGCAAATATAATTATCTGTGTTTTCTAATGGTTTTAGGTGACCCTTGTGAAAGGGTCCTTTGACGCCCCCCAAAAGGACTCACAACCCACAGGTTGAGAACCTCTGACCTAGAACAAAACCACAAATTTCAAATCTTTTAAAGTATTCCAAATATCCAGAAAGCACTCATAAAAGTTTTATTAATCATAAGGCATATTAAAAATTATTAGCTACCTGAGGCCTGAATGTTTTACATGAGAACACAACTCCTTCAGTGGAACAGTTTACTATTTCTTCTCCACTTTTATACTACTTTCATTTTTGTTTCCTAAAGTTACTCAGCATTTAGCCAGGAAAATATACAAAACACAGAATTATTTTGAAAGCAATAAAGCACTTCTAAACTATATACAGGCACAAGATAAAAAATTTCATATAAACTGTTATAGATTCTTTATCCTACTTAAGAATGTGACAATTCATTTATATTCCACAATTTGTACCATTACCTATATAATTGTTTTCTTTTTCCTCCTTTGTTAGCAGTGTCAAGGGGTAATTGATCCTGATCTAAGCAAAACCAAGCAGAGAAGGAAAATGCAGACCCAGGCCATTTCTGAATGGCAGGCACAGAAATTCCTGCCATGCTATGTGACAAATTAAAATACTGCAGTGCACTCTCAAGATTGAGTTTCCGCGCCATTGTCAGAATTGCACGAGTCACAGGAATGGTATACGGGTGAATAAACTCAGATTCATCTACTCTCAGCAATCGTAGTAGTCGACGGATTTCTTCTGAGCTCACAGACAGACTCCCCAATGAACCATGAATTGTTATCAAGTTCTCAGCACAAGTTCGATGTAGGGAAGAATGGGATTCAAGGGTTTCAATGATTCTTATTCCCATGTTTGCATTCACACACATAGTTCGGCTCTGCTTATTAATACAACAAATTTTTTTCAGCCAATCAGAGATGAATATTTGTAGGTCATGTGATTCTAGCTCCGGAAGCCATTGGATAAGAACCAAGAGAGGATGGACATTACTAATGCCCAAAATACCAACTGAAGTATGATCACCTTCTACAGCCTGAAAAGTGACACAGAAGTAAAAGGTTAGTTACTATTCTTAAAGTTGAAACAAAGGAACTTCTCATTATAATGGTTAAAAACTTACCATATTCATAAGTTCTTTAAGCAGTTCTAGTGATGGCTGACCCAAAGATTTCAATACCTCAAACATGTGCATATAGCCAATTCTTTCTTTAAATACTTCCTAAAGGGGAAGACAACATATCAAAGCACATTTTCAATGATTAAATTTGTTGGAACATTAAATATTAAAAACTATTTGGTTAATAAAATCCAAGAAAAGACTATGAGATCAGGGTTTTTTTATTATTATTTTCATTGAGTTCTACATTTTTCCCTGCTCCCCTTCATATTTCTCCACTCCCCTTCAACCCTCTCCCAAGGTCCCCATGCTCCCAATTTACTCAGGAGATTTTGTCTTTTTCTACTTCCCATGTAGATTAGATCTATATATGTCTCTCTTAGTGTCCTCATTGTTGTCTAGGTTCTCTGGGATTGATTTGTGAGCTGGTTTTCTTTACTTTATGTTTAAAAACCACCTCTGAGTGAGTACATGTGATAATTGTCTCTCTGTGTCTGGGTTACCTCACTCAAAATGATGTTTTCTAGCTCCATCCATTTTCCTGCAAAATTCAAGGTGTTGTTATTTTTTTTTTTCTGTAGTACTCCATTGTGTAAGTGTACCACATTTTCCTTATTCATTCTTCAGTTAAGGGACATTTAGGTTGTTTCCAGGTTCTGGTTATGACAAACAATGCTGCTATGAACATAGTTGAGCACATGTCCTTGTGGCACGATTGAGCATCCTTTGGATAGATACCCCAAAGTGGCATTACTGGGTCTTGAGAAAGGTTGTTTCCTAATTTTCTGAGAAACTGCCACATTGACAAAGAGGGCAGTTTTGTTCTCTGATTACTATCTATGTGCATCTATATCCATTCCCTCCCACAACCCTAGGGTCTTTTCTATGTTGCCTAAGCTGCCCTTAAAATTGCAATCCTTCTATCTGTCTCACCTATCTCAGAAACTGGGATAACAGGTATATGCCTTTGAACCTGACTGTATCAATCTTAGAATAGACGCCATATTATTTCTGTAATAATAATAAAGGCAGAAAAGTCCAGCAAAATGAAAAATAGACTAAATTAGAAACAACTGTGTTACAGAACTCTTTTCTCTATATTAACTTACATGACACTTCCTTTAGCCTCATCTTCCTCCCTCTCCCTCTTTCTCCCCCACCCCAAAACAGGGTTTAACTATATATAGCTTTGGCTGGCCTGGAGCTCTATCTTAAGATTGAGAGAGAGGGGGGGGGGGGGAACATCAAGACAGGGCTAGATTAAACAGATTCCTGATTGGTGTGGTGTCCCAGAACTAGGAAGGTACAGACAGAAGGAATGAATGTTTAAGGCCACACCAGGCTATATACTAAGGCCCGATTTAAATAATAAGGACTAGAGATGTAGCAGACTGGAGGCCCTGAGATAGGTCTATAACAAAGCTCAAATTTTAGTGACCAAAATAAGAGTACAAAGAATTTTCTCTCTGTTCTCTGTGTCTAAATGATCTGGAGCATCAATTTCACATTAGCGTTCCTAAAATCATGGACATTTTTTAACTCAAAGATTAAAAATAAAATATAAGACTACCAAAAACCTAGAAAATACAAAATCAGTCCATTAAATTAGGCAAAAATAGATACACCAACCATAAAAAGGTTTAAACAAAAACCCAGTTAACTCTATAAGGAATAGATTGCATGCCAAGGGTAAGAATAACGTTATTTTGATGGGAATCTCTGTTAGCCAACGATCTTTAAGAGGTTGGACCAGGTTAGGGTCTGATCTTTTGGGTACCTGGAGAAAACCACTGGCCTGCCCAGGGTTCTTTCTGTGGTTCCCATGCTACACAGCTGAGGCTGGACTTCTTGTTCCTGTTTTGTGAGTTTGCCCCTTATAATAAAGAAGAATATAATTGATATATTTTGGAGTTAGCCTGGAATTCTTTGACCCGTGTCCCTCAACAACTGGCTTGGGGGCCATTACATCCACTTTTTGGGACCCCGGCAGCTCCAGCCAGCCACCATTGTGCGTGGCTCTACAGCAAGCTGTGGCCTCAGTGGCATCCCAGAGCCGCGCTGGGTCTGGCTTCCCGGGCACGTTGCAAAGGCACAGGTGGGGTGTGGGGTTCCCTGGATGTCTCTGCTGGCACTGCTGCCTTCCTGTCCTTCCAGTACCCATGCTGCTGCCGCAGAGGGATCTCTGCAGAGTGCAGGGTCTGTGATTTGTACTGATGGAAGGCTCTGCATTTTCTCTTTATCCTGGTCACCAACTCTCAAAATCACTTTGATCACTTTAATAACTGATCCTAATTTAAGCATATCTCTCAGGATCTAATGGGTTAAAACCAATGTGAAAAGTCCTTGGCTAGGATTTTCCGGCCACACAGATACAATTGCGACACCTGCTGGCAGATAATAGTTACTTCACATACTTCAATTCAATATACCTTATGACAGGTGAGATTTATAATGTCAACAAATAATTTATCAATGCAAGACAACAGCTTTTTAACTTATACCATGTACGGAATTGTACAAGGCTTATGTAATTTCAATCCTACATCCCTATATTTCATACCAGGGATTAGCTTTGTATTTCATATTTTCTCCTTTAAAAATGGTTTGATAACAGAGCCATGAATGAGGCACTGTAAGACTGATAATGACTAGCTAAAAGGAATAATCGGCACTCTGGAGAAGGATATGACCAATTTCATGGACCAAACCCAGTCAGTGATGGAGGGTGAAGAGACACTGTCTGAGAGAATTCATACTGTTGAATGTATTAAGCAAAATCTGTTAAAAAGTTATGACAGATTGATGGATAAGGTGCCTGTCCACGAAGGTAATATGTATGCCATAAAAATTATGTCCAAGATCCAGAGTAAGCGGGTGTAACCGCTGAGCAAGTGAGCCAGAGCCAGAGGCTGCTGAGAGTCTCAAAGTGAATCTGGGACCTTCAAGGGAATAGACGTAAGCCAGGACCACTATGGGTCTGAGTATGAGTCTAGGACCTCCCAGGAACTAGGCCTGAGCCAGGACATCTGCCAGTCTAGGCGTGCATCTGGGACCTCCAAGGGAGTAGGAAGGAACCAGAGATCTCTGCAGGGCCAGGCATGAGTCTGGGACCTCAGAGGGAGTAGGCCTTATCCAGGACCTCTGTAGGCCTGGGCATTGGTCTGGGACTTCGAAGGCAATAGGCAGGAACCTGGAATCTCTGCAGGTTTAAGTGTGAATCTGGGATCTCTGAGGGAGTAAGCCAGAGCCAGGTCCTCTGCAGTTCCAGGCACACCCGAGCCTGGGAACTCCGAGGCAGTAGATTGGAGCCAGAAACCTTTGCAGGACCAACTCCAGGCAAGGGACATCCACAGGAGGGGATCCAGGCCAAGATTTACAGAAACCGGTAAAAGCTAGTAACCTAGTAGGCCTGAGACAACAAACTCCAAGGGAGCAGAGAAAAACACAGGAGCACTGAGCTATCTCCAAGAACACAAAGTAACCAATGGGTAAACTAGAACTGTGGCACTGACTGTACCATGAGGAACAACCATCTGAGCTTTGGATTCTTTGGCACCTAGAAGATTAATCAACAGAATCTCAGACACCCCAACCACACCTATTAGAGAAAAAGATGAGTAGGAAAGGTAAGAACACATTCAACACCACAAAGAGCAACACAATACCAGTAAAACCTAAAGGCCCTACAACAGCAAGACTTGAACAACCAAATATAGATGAAGCAGAAGAAAATGACCTAAAAAATAACTTCAAGAGAATGTTTAAAACTCTTAAAGAGGAAATGAGAAATTCCCCCAAAGAAATGGAGGAAAAGACAAACAAAATTTGAAAGACATCAGCAAATCCCTCAGGAAAAATCAAGAAAAAGAAATCAAACACATGAAAGAAACTATTCAAGACTTGAAAACTGAAATAGAGACAATAAAGAAAACACAAGCCGTGGGAATTATAAAAATAGAAATCATGAGAAAGATCAGGAACCACAAACGCAAGCATGAACAGCAGACTACAAAAGATGGAAAGGACAATCCCAAGCGCTGAAGACACCACAGAGGAAACAGACTCATCAGTTAAAGAAAACATTAAATCTAACAAAAGCTTAACCCAAAATATCCAGGAAATATGAGACATCATGAAAAGAAAATTTAAGAATAGGTATAGAAGAAAGAAAAGAAGTTCAACTCAAAAGCACATAAAATATATTTAACAAAATCATAGAAGATAACATTCCCAACCTAAAGAAAGATATGCCTATGAAGATACAAGAAGCTTACAGAACACAAAATAAATTGGATAAAAAAAGTCCTCTTGCCAAATAGTCAAAACACTAAACATACAAAGTAAATAAAGAATATTAAGAGCTGCAAGTAACATATAAAGGTAGACCTATCAGAATTACACCTGACTTCTCACTGGAGACAATGAAAACCATAAGGTTATGGTCAAGTGTTATGTGGACATTAAGAGACCACGGATGCCAGCCCAGACTACTATACCCAGCAAAACTTAAATCACCATAGAAAGGCAAAACAAGATATTTCATGACAAAACTAGATTTCACCAATACCTAGCTACAAACCCAGCCCTACACAAAATACTAGAAGGAAAACTCCTACCCAAGGAAGTTAGCTACACCAACAAAACCACAGACAATTGCTGGTCTCATAGCAGCAAATCCCAAAGAGAAAAACACACAAATTAACATTACTAACAATGAAAAGTAAATTAACAGGAGATACCAATCACTGGTCATTAATATCTAACAAAATAGACTTCAAGCTAAAATCAGTCAAAAGATACAAAGAGGTCATTTCATATTAGTCAGAGGAAAAATCAATCAAGAAGAAATCTCAATACTGAACATCTATGCCCCAAATACAAGGGGACCCTCATATATAAAAGCAACACTTCTAAAGCTTAAATAACATATTAAATCCCACACACTAATAGTGGGAGACTTTAACACTCTACTCTCACCACTGGACAGACCAGACAGACAAAAAATGAACAGAGAAATAAGAGAACAGGTGTTGTGACTCAAATGGACTTAACAGACATCTATAGATTAATCTATCCAAACAGAAAAGAATACACCTTCTTCT